CTTTGCGGTACTTTACATAAAAGCATATAATATAAGAACATATAGCGTACCTCATAACCATATAATTTTTGTCAACACAAACATTTTTGATGTCTTTTTGAGTTCTAAAATTAAGAGATCGTTCTCTTGCTATGCAAATACTCTTAGGTATATAAACCACAATGTTTGCTGTAGATATATCTAGACATCAGTATGTGGTATGTCCATGACGTTTTTCTGGTCCTGTTCACTGTCTCGTACGTCGCTGTGTTTGTCTCAAATATAATAACCAGTTATACTAGATTATATAATCTATTTATGTATTTAACATCGTCAAACGTACAAAAATAAATGAAGTAATATTTTTAAACTGCCTATTTAAAGATAAGTATTCAAGTAAAAGAGGTTTTACAAGCTCTAACAAAAAAATAATATCCTAAGTTGTGAAGACCCAAAACATGTCGGTTGATTGACAGTATTCTTCATTTTTTTTTGTGAAAATGTGACAATATACAATTACTTTATTATTTTCAAAACTTATACTTGCATGTGGTTTTGTGGGGCTTAGATTATAAAATACTTACCTGTGTGATATAAAGATAAATAAATAATAATAATGTCATCAAACTTATTAAAATTACGATTATGTCTACACGATAATACACAAACCTTTACTCCAAATAGGTACAAATAGTAATTCAGGCAGTCACATGGCGTCATTATTTTTTGTTAAAAAATGTTTAAATGCCATTCTTTTCAGCCTTGAAAGCAGACAAAGAATGGAATTTTTCCCACGAAAAACTGTACAATTTTGTAGTTGTGTTGAGTTTATGGAGTTCCGGGTTCCCGAAAACCTTATGCTAAACGTGGGATTTGGGACTCAGGACTTTTAGTAGAGGTTTTATGTTGTAAGCTCTTGCGTCACACATTCCCACGGGCCCATCCTAACCCAGCCTAGCCCATCCCAAGCCCTTCAATGGTAACTCGGACATTTTTCACACCATTTCGTTCCATGTCATTGGTTTCCGTGAAAAGTGCACAATTTTTTCATTCCATTGTACGCTTTGAATTTGAGGAATCGTTTTCGAACAAAAGTTTGACTTTCACTAAAATAGGTTAATCGTTGGTCTATATTATGCTATTGTGTTTGGTGTGGGTAAAGTTCGGTTGTTTGAGACGTTCTGGGTGTGGGTATAGTACATAATGATTAGGTAGCAAATGCATTTAAGTTATTTTTCTATTTATGAATCAGAACTCACATCAAATGTAGTTAAGTATATATTGAAACATTACTGTTTTGGTACCTTTAAAATGTTCATCAAATCGAAGAAATAACGTTGACTACAAACTGCAACAACAAATTACCAACACAGAAGAGAAGAGAAAATTTTGCGAAAGCAAAAACATTTCGACGGTCCCATTTATTTCGCAAGCCAATATCATATAAAAGCAGTAATAGTTTGATTCACATATACACATATCGGTAAAAGTACAAAATTATGCCTAATAACACGAACAAAAGGCCAAACCTATTCAAAATCCATCGATCCCATTCTGCAAACAGCCAGACAGTGATTTCATGGTAAAGATAACTGTATCAAAATTTGGATGCTACGTCATTTAGCCAATTGGCCCGGCGAGGACATCGGTCGGAGCACAAAGAACCGGACGCCGGCATCCGCTTTCCATCGGCACATTTTTTTGGAAACACCAAAATTTTCATAGTCCAAACCTTCGGCCTGGCATTGTCATGTAGATTCGAGGTTTATTATGTTGCTAGTACTAACTAACTACCTGGTAGTATATTTGTACTTGCGAATTTGTACTCAGGGTTTGTACTGCGCAGATGGGCGAGAGAAGAGAAAGCGGAGTGAGGTTGATAGATTACTTTTTGGTTGCTCTATTTAAGTACATATTTCAGTTGTTGTCATATTGTAAGCTACTTCAAAATTACCTGTAGCTGCTGGTTCTATAATTTCACACGTCAAACACCTGCTCTTTTTCTCATCATTTGGAGTATTTTTTTATTTCTCTCATCCTATCTGCATTAACTACCATGTTACTGATATGACCCTCCTCACAGACCACGTCAAAGGAGATATTCGCTGCGCAGTTAACACCTCGGTTATCTTTGTTTTGTTCGAAACTCTATGTTATGGTCCTTATCATTGTTTTTAATATCCTCATAACACATGAAATTCGCACTTATAATTGCCTCTAGAGGAAGGAAAATGGATATGAAATAACATTATAATAACCGTGTGCTCATTTACTACGAGCAAAACAATAGTATTGAAGATAATGTAATATGTTTAATGTCTAGACAATTACCTATATAGTTAATTTGTTTACATATTCCACCGTCTATATTTCATAACATTTCTATTTATAGTCATAATTCCTGTTATTGAAATGCAACAATGTAGTTTTGTATATAGAGACACATCAGTGAATGCTTAGTTTATCTTACTATCGTAAACTTTTTTTAATACTGTTTTTTTATTACTGTTATGCATCCGGTAGAACTATTCTTACTGATATTGAGATAGATAGTTGATGTGATAGGCTATTTGAGAAAATCAGACTCACATGTTCATTAGTTGTTCAAAGAGAGTAGTGAGCATCTCTGTAGTGTTCGTATCTAACCCTGGCTAACAATCTACTATGTGACCAGCGCAAACTGTAAAACTTACTGGCATTATTTTACACAGGTAATTATGATGTACGACAAAAGCCAACATCAAATAGGTTCATTATAAAATTCGCCATATACTGTAGACAATTTTCATTGGAATGTTTCCCAACAAATAAATACCTACATACATGAATACAATTAATTGCATCTATTTCACGGGTGTGCGCAAAATAACGGTTTCGATGTCAGTATCCATTTCAATATGGACGCCATCGATAAAGCGAAGTACTGTTACGTGGTACAAAGCGAAAGAGTAGTGATGCATGGGTTTTGTATATGACTAGTTACAACCCAACACTTCGTGCTCCGATAGTTGCGAATGTTATAAATAAGCCTTCATTGTTCGTCTACTGTATTGGTCTCGTTTGTTAGGGCCGTTGATGGTTACTATCTATATGTATTTATGGCGTATGAAAATTACTAACCAAATCTGGCTTTGATCTAGAATGATCAGGCACTGTAGCACATTTTATAGTTAATTTATAAAGCAAATAATGAATGTAGAAATGTAGTTGCTAAGCCAAATTGTGTGCCAAATCTGTTAGGATTAGACTCAATATAAAGTGCTAAAAGTCAACGCACGAAAAATCATCTAATCATGTGCAAACGGACATGGGAATCGCGGTCACATACATAGGTGACGCACGATTCGATAATAACAATAATAATAAAGGGATATTGAAAACATGTTGTTGAAATGCAAAAATATTTATTCAGTTAAAATATTGTGCAAATGTTTTGTCTTTGTTTCTATAAACAGCATCATTTAAAGTTTGCCTTCTTTGTTTGTTAAATTCTTTGCTTAGTCTATTTAGTTTATCAAACAAAATATTTTAGGTTAATGTATGATAGTTAGAAAGATGCCGAAATAACTGGTTCTTTAAGTATGATCGGTAGGTCGGTACATTATAAGTTCGGTTTTTGTTATTTTTTAAGTTCAATCAAAAATTCCCAGAAGGCCTTCCTCAAAACGTGCTGCATTTACTAGGTACCTAATATCCAAAATTTCCTGTTATTTTTGGGACTTTAAACTTTGGACTACCACTAATAATTACCTTCACCAGGTACTAAGAACCTTTGACTTTTTTTTTAAGGGGGGAAAATCATCGAATGACTGCTCCCGCCTGGGTGAGGCGGGAGGGAGTGTCAGACTCTTACTGACTAAAAACCACCCCGTTCCTCCTCCTGCACGTCGAGCCGGAGCCCTGGTTACCCGTTAGGTTCTCCGCGACAAGAACCTTTGACTAGATTCAGGATGCGTTTAAAAACGTCATTTTCAAAATAATATTCTAGGTTCCAATAAATAGGTACCAATTGTACCTAATCTGCCTGTTTCAACAAACGAGTAACAAGACACTCCAGTTACATATCTAAATTACAACTATAATTAGCCTGGACGCCATGTTTTTGTATGTAGTAGACATTTCGCGCCATTTAACACATAGTGACACAAATAAATAGATACAAGCGCTATTTACGTGCAAAACATCATAATACAGATCTGTATACTGCAATTATCACAGGCACGGCCCCATATAGATGGTTGCCATAATTTTCTAGCTGAAGGCCGTCATTATATGGATACTAAACGGTGTACATATTACTCTGGGTCTCTGAACATTACAAATATATATTTGATCGCAATAACCTTGCTCCCGATAATCTCTTGTCTGCTGATTAGTGCTTTGCGAAACGATAATCGCTTTCTGAAAAGACCAATAGAACTTGTACAAGCGAATTATCTCTATATTTGCTACTTCTAAAGATGCTAAAGAAGTGAGTAATGGGACGTAAAATTGACATACATATTTGCAAATTAACTATTAACACGAACTGTAGTTAACTCTCTATTTTCAACTAGGAATGTATTGTTAAACTCTAAAGATGTAAATCTGTAGAGTACTATACTAACGATAAGGTTCACAATTGATAAATTATGATTTGCTAGCGTATGGACACTTACGGAGCCGCGGAAGACTTAACGGGTTGCCGGGGCTCCGGCTCAGAGAAAAGCAGAAGTAAGAACGGGGTGGTTTTTAGTCAGTAAGAGTCTGCCACTCCCTCGCTCCTTACTCAAGGTGGAAGAAAACAAAGACATTGGATGATTTTTCCCACTCAAAAAAAATAGGGCAATTAGGATTTGCGAATTCCTTCCTTAGGTAGGTAATGCAGAAATTACTAGTTCTAGTTAGTTAATTACGTCCTATATAGTACAAACTTCAAGCTACATCGGATTTTAGGAAATAGATGTCCTAATAATTGATTGTATATTGATGCAGGTGACCATATGAGTGGTCGGTGACGAGGAACACAGCAGCGTTAGAAGATGAAGCCCCGGGGGGCGAGGGTCATGCATGCCTTCACTGCACTCACCATGCTCACCATGGCCAATGGTAAGATACCTGAAACATCACCCACAATTGTAAGCATTTACCTATAATTAGACTTAAGCAAGTAACGTAATGGATCATGCCTCCCATTCATCAAAGAAAACAGAGAGCAAGAATGCGGTGCACATGTTGAATATAACTCTCATCTTACACCGATTGGTTGTTATGAGCACTATAGAATAAAGGGCAATTCTATTGCCATATACAACGGACAATATGCCATGCTCAATGCTTGCTGCTACAGAGCGATGAATGACTTGCATTCACATTTTTCCTTCTTTTTGTTTACTCATTTTTGCTGTTATCCGAAGAGGTAAGGGGTAATTAATATTTTGGATTTTATGTCAGTTTCCCCCCGAAGAGATATATTAGAGTAGGTCCTTTTGTTTTCCTTTAAAATTATGTCATTAAGTTGAAATGAGCTCATGATGACTGTATACTGTATGCTATGAACCTGTTGTATCCTTATGCAAATCGTAATGGTGAGTTACGTAAACAAAGTTTTAATGAGTCATCATTTCATAATAATGTGTTTTGCCTTAGCCTATATTGTGTATGAATCATTAAACAAACAAATAAATATTTATAGGTATGTATAGCCTCTTGATAGTGTCCAATAGTTTTATTAATAGGTAAGTAAACAATTATCTCCATAATCATTTGTTTTCAAAATTGTTATTGAACATATTTAACATAGTATGTTTGATAAGTATTAATAACAACATTCCTATCCCTTTGATTGATTTCCTCTTCCGTACTTAGATATATCGTTTAATTAGTTATCTAACACTTGAAACAGTTGTCAATATCAATAAATACTAAGAAAACTGGGAACTGGGAAGTTTAACATCAAAATTGCTTCAAGTAATTTATTGGTACATAACTAATCAATACTTAGTCGGAATAAGTTCCATACTAAGTAGCTTAGTCTGCTGAAGTCTAAAGTCATCTACAGATACAGACCGATTTGCTGACCTGTTGGTGTTACTAACTACTAAAGAAACGATAAAAATGTAACCTACAAGCTAAATATTACAGAGACGATTTTTAGCTACAAAATGTGCTGTTGGTAACAAAACCTAAGTCAACAGATTAAACTCTCACTCTCAAATATGTACTTTCTTAAATAATTTACATAACATCACGCCTTTTATGGGCTGAGGTGCCCACTGTACAATGTAACACCCATTATTCACTATTTACTTAAACAACCTATAAAGACATAATCAAACACTACGTTAGCCGAGATTATCTATCTGTAACTTCATGAGTCTTTAGACTGTTTACCTAATATTAGATAACTCATGAACTCACTTTGTAATACAAACAAACGGACTATAGGCTGGTATGTACGTAATCCGGAGCTGCGTACAACTTAACGGATTACCGGGGCTCCAGCTTAAAGTAAGAGTAGGACTGGAGTTGTTCTTAGCCAGTAAGAATCTTACACACGGGCGGGAAAAATCATTAGACTATATTCCCCAACTAGAAAAAAATGATACGTAATGTTACAACGTGTGTAAAATTAAAATGGTACTGTTCACAGCTCAAACGACTTGCAACCAGGGAATGGGAAGAGTCATGTATGAAAGACTGCCTAATCAACAGCTACATGGATTTGATGATGATGTTGTAAGTAAATTATTGATAAGAATATTATTCATCTACTGACAATTGAAGCTGAAGAATGGTTTATTTTAGGATCTGCATAGTTGTAGTGGTACTAGTATAGTTAGTGAAAATTAGTTTAAAAATATCAACAACAACATTGCAAATAAGTGTGTCAAAACATCGAACCATGTCAAATACACGATTACGTGATTAATTAAATTATAGCTATCTGTTTTTAATTCCACAAGGCTACCTACATTTGTAGTTTATCGAAACGCACCAGTTTGTGTTGTTGACAAACATAGTCTGAACATAATTAACTTTGCATTATTCATTTACTCATTAACATAGGTCCGCGAGACGGCGCCACCTTTTCGCGTCTTGGAGAAATGCCAGGATTTGTGTCTGCGTGACCGTTCTGGTAACAGCCTGGTTAGGACTTGCAACTCTATTGATTTCCAACCTGGTGCTAGAATAGCTGCATTCAGCCCTGAACCAGAATATGAGGAGTCTACTTGTTATCTCACAAGGGAACAGGCCGCTCCTGAAGGCATTGGAACCCTCATGATTGTACCAAACAGCGTCCATTTCAATGAAATCTGCCTCACATGTGAGTTTTTGGAACGTTTATCAATACCGTTATCTGTGGACACAATGGTCATTGTCATTTTCATTGTTTTCTTGTTTTAGCGAATCGGCCGGAGCGTGAATGCCCGTCCCGTCGGTATGTTTTCGAACGCCATGCTCGAAAGCGACTCAAACTTCCTCCTTCAGATCTCAAGGAAATAATGGTTACTAACCGAACAGAATGTGAAGATAAATGCCTGGGAGAGTTTAGTTTTGTATGCCGATCTGCCACTTATGACTCTGCTCTGAGGACTTGCTCGCTAAGTAGATTTACTCGAAGAACACATCCAGAGTTGTTAGAAGACGACCATAACGCTGATTATTTAGAAAATACTTGCTTAAATGGTAATTTAATTTATACAATCGATAAAGTTATGTTGAGATTTCTAGATACTGTAACTACAATATTGTAAGACATGACAATGGCCTATAATCGGGATGTTTTATATTTTTTTAGCCGAACGTCGTTGTGATGGCTTAGCAGTTTTCATTAAAGAAGAAAACAAGCGCCTCGGCGGACCGTTCGAAGCCGATGTGTTTTCTAACATGACTCTTGATGAATGCCAAGCAATGTGTGTGCGAGCTGAGAAGTAAGACATACAAAGTTTTATAACATATCTACCTACACTTATTATAAATTATATGACATTTGAATGCGAAATCTGTTCTTAGATATTTCTGTCGATCCATCGAGCATGATGCTATGACTCGCCAGTGTGTTCTGTCCGAGGAAGACTCGGTTTCACAAAAAGACGACGTGACTGTTAGCGCATCTCCCACCCATCACTTCTATGACCTTGTTTGCCTGGACAATCGTGAGTATTATCAAGATTGTCTGTTAGTTTTAGATAACAGCTGTATGTAGTATCTATATTTAACCTTACGCTTTTTGAAGCGTACAATGCTTGCAATTAACATTCTGAAATTCCTGAATTAACTGTGCATGAAACCACATTAAGGTTTTTCTCACGATTATGATCAGTCTCTCATCGGGTGACAGCTCGTGGCACGGAGTACCCGGACAACAGTGTGACGTCACACCTGTTCTCTCCCGGACGTCGACCAGACACGGCCTTCCAGAGGTACAGGAACAGTCGGATCACGGGCGAGTTCCACTCAGAGATCACCGGCCGCTCCCTCAGCGAGTGTTTGGACGAATGTTTGAGGCAGACAAGCTTCCAGTGCAGGTAATGTACCGAAACATGTCACTGTGCCGTTTGAACACGATTTCGAAATGCGCGTGTCATCTCTTTTCAATTGACGCCCATATATTTACATAACTTCTCAACCATAAAAGGCCGTTTTGTAACTCCAACCGATATTTTGCTAACATTTCAGCTGCAAAGTTTAAAGAGATAAAATAAACAAGTAGCACTTATTTTGAGAATGGATTCACTATCTATGTCAAAACATCAATAATGGCAGCTTTATCTGTAAACATAAATTCCTATAAAGCTAGACCTATGATAGCTAATCATAACAAAATCTGACCTATAAACATCGTCCTAATCTCTGGGGAAAACGAAAAACAGATCAGTAAATTATCTGTTTAGTTTTGTGTGTCACAAGTAGTGGAGATAAGGTGTGACAAGTTCGTTGTACGATTGCGTGCGTGGGGGCTATTCAGCAACATTAGGTATTGTTCGACAGGTCGGCGGTATACAGCGACCGCGCCAGGACATGCCGGCTGAGCAGATACAATCAGAAGGATAACATGCGACTGCTTTACGATCCCGATTTCGATTATTATGAAAATTTGATGCGTGAGTATCGCTTGTGTTTGCATTGTTGATTTTAGAATTACCCAAAAATCGATTCAGTTTGCATTGTTATTACGTGGGATATTTTAATCAGAGAATTATGTAAGTAGTCAGTTTTAGCAGAATTTTAAATCAACAAAAAATGCATAGAAAACCTTTCTTATTAGAAACTTAGTAACATTATGCATAGCCTAGGTAATCTAGGTCAGTTGCAAATAACATGGAATGTTTAGACGGCACATGACGTACGGCACCCGTAGAGGAGTGGAAGGAAGAAGCCAATAAACGTATCAGTATGAATTGGGATTAATAGAGCTGAACACGACGTAGTACTTATTATTAGGACTTGGTAGGGCTGCTTAGATTAAAGTTTGACACTAACAGTTCTTTTATCTGTATGGAATAATTACGACCACCAATAGCGGGAGCTCTTAATTTTTCCGTAAATGCAATTGGTTGTTCAGTAATTTTTATGAAGAAAATCTTAGGTACAACTTGAACAAATAGTAGTGCTAGTAGAACAGTTTGGTTTTATTTATGTCGAAATACGTATGTTTTTGTCGTAAATATCGTTCTATATCATTCACACATCACACCATATCAATAGCTATGACATTATCGTAAATAATAACCTGCATTATTTTTATAGTTCAATTATCATAAACATTATTTCGAGTTATGCACTTAATGCCAAAATACGATAACGGAAAGCTTCACTTATGGGTACTTATTATTTACAATTTTTTTTTATAAAAACAACAATACGATGTTGTTTTCTTCTTGTAGACTTCTCTTGACATCCTTAACAACCACTCAATTGATGCAACGAATCACGTTGAGAATCACCCGACACTGACCCTTCTGTGTTCATGAATATCATATTTATCTCCTTTATTATTGGTGTGGATTTCAAGCAGACTATATTTTTAATTCTATAAATAACTCTCTATTTATGTTTGCGAACAAAGGAAATAATAATGAAAGTCGGCAAATGAAATAGAATCGTTAACTTCACTCAATGAAATAGATATTAAATGCTATTTTCGCATCATTGTGCAAAATAGAAATATTGTGAAACGCGGAAATAATTTTATAGTTTAACTTTATGGGCATAGTATAAAGACTAGGATGCACTCGTATCTAATTTGTCCTATTTTACAGAAACCGGCTTTTACTCTAAGCCAAAATCTACAAGATTTGATTACTACATACAACTGATTTATTGATTTTATCATTTTTCATTCGTATCCCAATATATTATTATTTTAATCCTATCTATTTTAATATTTACTACAAATTAATTTACACCCAAATTAATTAGTAATCGATATAATTTTCTATTATCACAAAATTATTCGTTTAACTCTTTAGAGGACCTTTATATTGACGACTATGGTTTGGGCATTCAGATCAGCTAGTTGGAGGGGAGAACGAAGCTGGGACTCCAGGGACTGGTTCACAGGGCAATTGGGGGGGACGGCCCGCTACTTCTACAGGTTCGATGCATGATAGACAGGAACGGGGTGAATAACTAGTGGTTGATGAATGTTATAACTAAACAAAGGATTGAGGTGCCTTTGATTAACTATAATATGCGGTTCATGGATGCAATATCTAAATTTGTATCTTTGCAGTGAAATGTTAAAGATGTAGTGAACTACATACTTTGTTTATTTACAAAATGTGACATTCTTGAAAAAAAAAAACGATAAAAATATGAACACTTACAACGAAGATTGAAGACCCGTTACGTTGTTTAAAAATGTGTTGGCTTTATGATATTTGTATACTTGTTATTGTGAATAAAAAGTCGTTAACCGGCGCATTAAGTTTTATTCATACGTGCGTCGTCACACCAGTATCGTTGATTCATGAATCATTTTAACAACTTCTGTTTGTAAATTTCTTGATAACATTCAACAACCACTAGAGGAAACTATGTACGTAGAAGTAAAAAGGAATCTGGAACTTTGTATTGGGACAGTAGAAATTATTGTAGAAATGTATTTTTTTTTTGTAAATTGTAGTGATAAGGTAAGTCGTAACAATGCTGTAAATAGTAGATTAGTTGAAGAGAAATAAACTCTGTAAGTAGGTATTACTATGTAGATGTTGTTTGTTATTTCTAGGATCTATTTGTTATCAGCATGCTGGTCATTGTAAGGTAATCGTAGTTAGCTATTTATAAACTTTAGTTAGCAAGTAGTTAGCAGTAGAATAGACTTGTTTTGTTCGCATGGTTGACGTTTTCTATTCATCCTATTATTAAATATTGAACTTTTTGTATTAATATGTCCTTTTATTTCAAGGTGGTAGTAATGGAGGCGACCGGGATCGATACCCGCCAGGCGTAGACCGCTACCCGGACGATGACCGGTACCCTGATGATGACCGGTATGGCGACCGTCGGCCAGATCGGTACCCAGACGACAGATATCCATCTGGGCCTGACGACCGCTACCCCGACGACCGATACCCACCTGGCGTCGGATCAGACCGTTACCCGTCTGACAGATATCCTCCTGGAGTCGCAGACCGATACCCAGCTGACAGATATCCACCCGGCATCGATCGGTATCCTTCTGGTGTTGATCGGTATCCATCTGGCCCTGATCGATACCCAATTGGTCCAGAACGATACCCAATCGGTCCAGAACGATACCCGATTGGTGCTGATAGGTATCCAGTGGGAGCTGACCGATATCCTCCTAGTGCTGACAGATACCCACCTGGAGTTGGGCTAGGTGTTGATAGATACCCTTCAGGGAGTGGAAGATATCCCCTTCCTGGTGGTGATCGTTACCCAGTTGACGGTGGAAGACCCTACGACTATCCTACTAACGACATCGGAAGATACCCAGTTGACCGATATCCTATTAGCCGATACCCTATTGACGTTTATCCTGAAAGGTTCCCACAAGACAGATACCCGGAAAGATTCCCTGTACGTGGCAGTGGCCGATACCCGAGTAGACCGGGCTGGAGCTCTAGCCGCTATCCTGATAGGTTCGATCAGGACCGATACCCTGGAACTAACGATTGGGGACGGTACCCGTTCAGTCGCTACCCAGTTGGGGTGAACAGAGACCCAGTACCTCTGGGCGGGGACCGATACCCAGATTTGTATAACAAATATCCGCCGACCGGATCATCATACCCCGGTGAGCACTTAACTGTTCTAGATTCCTTTAAAATTATGGATTTAGGTTTTATAGGAATAAATATAGTTTGTGATTTCACGTGCCATTTTTTGTAGCAGGCTACGGACGTGGGGGCTATTATGGACCCGATTATGCTGGGCCTGATCGATTCCCTGACAGAGGTATTCGACCAGGCACAGACAGGTAAATAAAAAAACAAAAAGATTTAGTTATTTGTGTATCGAAACAACAACATTGATTTTATATATTTGTCCAGATATCCTGTTGAACCTAGACCCAGTTTTGGTTTAAGACCCAGACCCATTGAGAGGCCTAACGGATATCGCGGATCTTATCCTCCACCTGGTCCAGTGGAACGCCCTATAAGTATGTAAACTTAAAAACGAAATGTTCATACAAATATTTATATTATTCCCTTACTACGTTTTCTTTTCCGTTTAGATGGACCTGTGTACGGTGGCGGTGGACCTTCATATGGTAGTGGACCAGTTTATGAACCTGATGGCCCTATTGGACCTGTAGGACCACCAATCAATGGTCTTGGTGGTCCAATTAATGGTCCAGTTGGTGGCCCTATTGGTGGCCCCATTGGAGGTCCAATTGGAGGTCCTATTGGTAATGGCATTGGTAGACCACCAATCGGGCAAAGGCCGTGGCAAGGATCGCGGTGTGAAGAGGACAGTTTTAGACAAGTGGGTAGACAACGCATGCAAAGACGATATGTTCGACGATTCACTACTGCTCAGTCACTGGCTCATTGCCAACGAGAATGCATAGAGGCCAGAGACTTCATCTGTCGGTCATTCAACTATCGGTAAGTATACTAAAAATGCTATGATGCAATTGTGCTAGGTATAGTGACATTACTGACCCACATAACGTTCACAGAGGTGTAGACGGCGCGTATGCTGGGGAACCTCGTGATAATTGCGAGCTGAGCGATCGCGATACTCGGGAGCTTGACGCTGCTAATCCCGCGCATTTTGATAATACAGCTAATGAATATGATTTCTATGAACGAGCACTTGGCAGGATGGCTGATGATTGCTTAGATGGTGAGATACGAAAATAGTTGTTGCTGTTCTTTATAGATTTATTGCTTGGGAATTTCTTTTGTCTAAGCAACCATATTAATTGCCATGAATCCTGTTTCTTAGTATCCCAAGTCTGCAACGAAGATGGAATGGAGTTCACTCTGCGACTTCCTGAAGGATTCTATGGTCGAATGTATACTTATGGCTTCTATGATCGGTGTTTCTTCCGCGGAAATGGCGGAGTAGTAAACGTTTTGCGTATCACTGGAGCTCATGGGTATCCTGAATGTGGAACACAGAGGGTTAGTAGCTTTTTTTTTTACCAAAAATACAATATTTAAGTTGGAAACTATAAACTTTATCTTTTGGTGAATAAATATTATTTTTCAGTACGGAGATACAATGACGAACATCGTAGTGGTCCAATTCAGTGACAACGTGCAAACTTCGCGAGACAAACGGTTCAACTTGACTTGTCTGTTTCGTGGCCCAGCCGAGGCAGTAGTCACGTCGAATTACATCGGTGCCGGGTGAGAATTATGTCATCGATCATCAATTTGTGTCTATCTGATAAATACTATTGTTTAACCAATCTTTATGGAACATTTTTTTCATTAACATCTTTAGCGAATTAGCTCTTCCAAATAACTAAACTATTTTGGAATATTTTTTTATCACGTAGACACAAATTTTGAATATTAACATTATAACAAGTGTTGCGTGTTTTCATGAGTTCGCTTCTGAAGATTTCCTTTACGTTTGCATTTGTTTACATTATTGTTTATTATAGGTGTTTCCTAAACATAGTTTTCGCTGAAACCATTTTGTTTTTGTTTTTTGGTGTATTTTGGGAAAGTTTTTGTAGAATCATTATATATTAGCTAACGGGTTTTTCAAAGCGCTGCTGTTTGTTTTTGCCAGATTTTCCTGTATGTTATCAGTTTCTGGAAATTTTGGAATGTAGAAATTAACAGGATGGTTTATTTAGTTAGTTGAATGTTGGTTTTGAGTGCTGTTATCACTAACAGCTACTAACGGGGGACTTTGAATGAATCTGTTAATAACCTGTATTACTTAATTTTCATATTCAAATTATTCCCTGGCAAATTCATTCAAAGTCAGTTTGCCGCTTTAGGAAGCATCTCTTCGAATCTAACCGTAGTCTTGGGTATGATTTGGTCGACAGGTCGGGCAGTCCCATTCCCATCGAATATCTTCCTGAGGAGAGCTCTTTGAACTCCAAAGTCCGTCTTATGATCCTGTACCAAGGCAGACCAACGACCACTATTGCCGTTGGAGATCCATTAACATTTAGATTGGAAGCTCAAGACGGATACAACTATGCAACAGATATTTTCGCCACAAATGTCATCGCTAGAGATCCTTATTCTGGACGATCGGTGCAGCTAATTGATCGCGTTGGGTAAGTTTGTCTTTCCAATACGTAGGTTTCATTTGTGAAAAAAAAATCAAATTAATCTCATTTATACCGTAGACTAAAGTAATTATTTCTAAAACTTGGCGCATCTCCTATCTTATTCTATCATAGCTATCCACATCAGACGTGTGTTCCAAAATTACACCATTGAAAAGTTAACAGATTCTAAATAATTTCATATCCCATTCCAGATGCCCTGTTGATCCTGACGTATTCCCAGAATTGGACAAAGGTCGCAACGGTGATTCTTTAGAAGCAAGGTTCAACGCTTTCAAGATCCCAGAATCAAACTTCTTAGTATTTGAAGCCACAGTTCGTACGTGCCGCGATGGATGTCAGCCGGTCAGTGCTTTTAAAATTGTTTAGTTTTAAGAGATAGTGACCTAAATTCTGTGTTAAAAAGTGGTTGCAATAATTTTAGTTTCTTAGAATAAATAGGTAAATAGAGAGAGTATTATCTAGACGACTACAGTGATACAAAAAAGACATATATACATACCTAGATGGGACTATATGTAATCATCAGAACAAGATTGATAACAGGGAATTAAACAGTATAATCAATGGAGAAAAGAGACGTCATGTAGATACCGACATTATTAAAACAACTGTCAATATGAAAACCATTATCAATATCTATCACCTACTGCGCCTCAATAGGACTTGGAGCGATTTAACAACTCTTTATTGGAACAATTTATTTCAATAAAGGGCATTACGGGTACCTTTAAATAGAAACTACGAACGTCACCTTACTTATCCAATTGAGGTGGCTGTTTATAAGACTCGTCTACAAACCCAAAAATAAAATGAGTTATCAGTCCAAAAATATCAGGAGCTCATATTATAAACGATCAATGTTTTTCCTGGTAGTAATCTAGGTATGTACCTGAAAGAATCTTCTTTGATTTCATTTTGTCATTAAGTAAGTTGTGTAGTATAATTAAGTGATTGGGAATGTTCAGAAAATGAGTCAGAGATTTTAAGCCTTCTGTTATGTTTATATCATCTGGTAGCACTATTGATACAAAAACGAAGAAGATAACGATAGAAGCTAAGATGTGACCGAAAGATCGTCTACTGACGGATAACCGACGTCACGTGTAGTTTACCTTTAATGTTAATCCTTAGAGTATAGCCAAATAAGTGTTAAGTACTCAATGCGTTGGTGGCTTTGATTTTTAACTTTTAATATAATAGAAGATAACTTAACTATGAGAAGGAAATACTATGAGAAGGAAATAAACTAGACAAAATATTAGTAAAGTAGCCTATCGACCCTATTGTCCATACATGTTTTTCTTATTTTTTCAACTTCTTTATCTAATAAACAACTCATACGATTTTAATTACGTCAATGCTTATAAAAATACACAATTATCGAGCTACATCCAGTTCTCGGGTTATCGCGACATGATAACTGTGACTTGTTATGCATAAAATAGATGCTGTTTATGCAATTTAGCATCTTCTATAAGATCTCTTGACCCTGTTTGCTTATCTAGTTGTACCACGTGAATAACAGATGGTATTATCGTTTGGTTTTCATTAGAACTACATATTATCCAGGTTATGTAATGATAACTTTGAAGACACAACTATGGTTTGTTATTAATTAATAGGTACTTAATTAATATTCAAGTTACTATAGCTACTTGCTTACTTAAGAGTAGATTGAGCAACGCAGCGATGTAAGTCTTAAGAAAATCAATCAACAGATTCTTGCTAATGAGAGAATTAAACGTGGTTTAAACAAAGAACGAATCACACTAAGTTATTGTTGATTAAAAATATACACACATGATCATTTAGCTTATCTACTCGAAATAAAATAAACTGCATTTTAATTGCCGCCTTATATCGAGAGACGGATGAAAGTAACTTAAATACCTACCATTTTAAAACTATTGTTGCGTAATAATTTGTCAATATTTTTACAATACCAATTAATCCACTATTTTCACTCAGACAATGCCACAACGTATCAAGACCGCCGATGTATAGTTTTCGTACATAAATTGTAAATAAATAAAGACAAAAAATAATTCAATTTTCAGGCATATTGTCCAAGTCACACAGGACGATCGGAGCCATCATTTGGAAGGCGTCGAAGGGATGTGAACTCGACACTTGGAGTTGATGGCAATGACACTGCCGAAGTGAAGACTACAGACAATAATGACACAAAGACGGACAAACAAGATGATAAAAACGCAGGCACTGTGTACAAAGTGTCGTATGAAGAGGCTACCGTCGATAAATATCTTAAGGATGAGGTCGAGACCCCTAGTCATGTGAGGAAGATGATTGAGGTAAGGACTTTGTTAATGAACTTTGGATAGATACTGGAAATATATTATGTTGATTAGGTACTTTCATCAATACCTAATGGCTTCAGGACTCTAGAGCAGAGGTTTTATTAATTTTGTTCGAAAATCCTAGTCAGTGGCGTAAAATGCCACAGTCCCCGAGCCCCCCTGCTCGGGGCCTGTGGCATTTTAGTAATCTTAGTAAGGGGGTCTTTAGTAATCAGAGATTCTCAACTGAATTATTCTCTTTTATATTGGGAAGAGGGGCTCATCCAATAAATTTACGCTACTGCTCCTAGTCTAAAGATTGTATTAGTAGTGATAACATTATTAGCTAATACTAACTTATGTTAAAAAGTAGTTACTAATGTGTCTAATACCTAGATATATCTACTACATACGAGCTGTGAGGCTATTCTGTAGAAAGATCGAAGGGAACTGGACCGTTTTCCGCCATGTCATTGATTGTGAGAATCTCGACCAATGACGGCCGAGAATTTTTTTGATTAATTGAACATTATAGGATAGCCTAGCAGTTTCTAGGTAGGTACCTGAGTAAATATTTAATATTTGGGCAAAAACCTTTTCATTGTCAGATTTTAAGTACTTATGTAATTATCAGCTTTATCTCTTGTTTTAACAGCTAATAGTAACGACCTTTTATCTACACTTGATATAGAGATATTGTCTCACTGAGGGGGCTTAATCACAATGCGTAATATTATAGCCACGTTAAGTGTCAAGTGGTCGTGTTATTGACCTTTGTATCCTCTCCATTTTTCCTCGAATTTGAAGCAAATGATAATCACTATGATATGATCATCTGAGCAGGGTGTGCTCTGTGGTCAGACAAAAACATACGAGGTGCAAGAAAATTAATTCTTAATTCTTACCTATTTTAGGCACAAAAAGCATGTGCCTTATTTAAACAGAGATGTGTATTAAGTATCTATTATATCTAGGTATCTCGACGAGGTATCTATATGATTGAGTATCTAAGTACCTAGCTAGGTATAAGTCGCGGAGAACCTAACGGGTAACCGGGGCTCCGGGTCGAAGTGCAGGAGAAGGAATGGGGTGGTTTTTAGTCAGTAAGAATCTGATACTCCCTCCTGCCTCACCCAGGCGGGAGCATTAATTCGATGTATTTTCCCCCCTTAAAAAAAGTACCTAGGTATGCATCCTTCAACTTTGGTACATTTTCTTATATGTATGTAATTAAATTTTGACTGCGGTGGCTGGGCAACCGGCTGACACACAACGTGTCGCGGGTTCGATTCCCGCACGGAGCAACTCTTTGTGAGTTCCACAAATTGTCAGGGTGACATGTGTATGTGAACTTGTATGTTTGTAAACGCATCCACGACAAAGGAGAATATCCTACCTCTAGAGTAGCTACCAATCAGAGGCAGTTAATTCCTACGTAGGAATTAGTAGGATATCCTCTATTATCTAAGTACTATACACCTATTCAATTTAATTTCTTTCTTCCAGGTATTTGACAACCGCAACGAGTTACTAGAAGAGAATGGAGAGAGTGACTCTTCCCCCGTAGTAGCAGCTGCCGGTATCTGTGTCCCGCCGTATCATTACAGGGCATTACTAGTGGCCCTCTGTGTGTTGCTGTCTTTACTACTGGCTATGCTCACCGCTGCTCTTTATATCTATAGGTACGTAATTAAAGGTAAAACTAAGAGATAGGACAGGCAGGCAAGTGTAAGTAGAACATTTTATTAATGTGGGTGGAGAGAAATTAACCTACTAGGTAATAGATCTACGATTACATCAATACCAATAGTGAAATACATGGTTGTGATGTGATCATCACTGATTTATGGTGGTAAGAATTTAAACTGCATGGTTACAGCAATGATTGAACGATTGACGACTGAGCAATGTATCAAGCGGTTTCGATTCCTTCACGAAACGATTTAAGTATTTATGCCTCTCTTAGAAGTTAGCAAACACTTAAGAACCCACTTAAACCTAGTACCTAGGTATTATTATTATTTAATTATTCATAAACACGTGCATAATTTTATAGCAAAAGCTAAAACATTACCTACCTATATAGTTAAAAAATGACTTATTTTACTTTACACAAACATAAAATTATCTAATCGAGCATCAATAGGCGTCTAACTAAATTACCATATACATACTACGATGTTTAACCCTGACCTGACATCAGTCTAGCTTCACTGCTTCAATACCTACTTAATTATAAATCTTCAGTTACACACAGTTCTTGGTTTTATGCGTTTTTTCTACGTATCTAATGAAGTGCAATGTGACGTTAAGCTGACGCATAGTTTTAATGCCGACGGTTATATTTAGCTGCATTGGTATATTTGAGTCGTTCACACGCAAAGAACACGCGTTGCAGGCGTGATGTCACTTTGCAGTGTGGTCGTAGGTAGGTACTTACCTACACAACATAATACATGTTTACATAGGTAAATATAATATTACGGAATGTTGCAGCAACTTCTGTTTTAGCAGGTAGTTACTACTACCTACCCACAAATTGTGTTTGGTTAATAACCACCCACTTATGTGACCATATACACCTAGGTAGATAAAAAATCCAAATTTAACGAAGGTAGATTGAATTCTATAACAAATAACTAAATAGAAAAATACCTACTTCATCGATTAGTTTTTACTAAGTACATTTGTACTTATTTCTAGTCTATCTATTTAAATTGTGTAAAAAACAATAAATAAATCGAAATGTTAATATTAGGTCTAATTAGCTTTATAATTACTTCCTTGTTTAGACGTTATTGGCGAGTGCTGCGCAAGAACATTCAAGCGTCGTCACCTGCGCCGGCGCTGCGGCCAGTGACCCCGGGGCCTAGGCCTACAAGACCGTCGCTCTTCTCCGCGTCGCATCTGCATAAACCATTCTCATTGAGGTAAGATATGGAGATAATTCACTTTCTATTTTTAATTACTTTTTAGGAGGTACCTACTCAAGCATAAGCATCGAGTTGCACTAACAGTTACCTACATTATCTATCTTAGTTTTTCCACCTTAGAGACTCATATTAAGTGTTAGTGCATGCCAGTTATATTAAAAGCAGCATGTAGAAGAATATTGGTGCCTAGAATCTGAGCACCAATATTCTCTTAAAGCCGGCTGTATATTTTAGAACCTTGGGTTGGAGCCTGACTAAATATTGACCGCAATTTGTAGGTAGACAAATATTTTAACATAGACCTTCAGATACTAATTTAGTATTTTGTGAATCCAAGGTTTTTTTACATTTATTTATTAGGTATAGGTACTTGTCGATACTGGTAATATTTCATTATTGTGCAAGATAATAAAACTATTGCAGCAATTATAAATTAATTGCAAAAAAAATCTACAAAGTTATTGATAATATGGATAGGAAGATAGTTCTGATTTATGTTGACGGAATAGTCGTCGATCATCATTATTTGATTTATATGCAGATAAATAAAATTAAATGGTTAATTAAATTCAAAAGTAAATGAAACTAACATTAGTGCAATAATTACATTTCAGTGGATTGGGAAGAACATTTGCCGAGGTGGGCGATGAAGCTGGTTCCTCGGGACGTTTAGCTAGTGCCTTTGACGATGGTAGCGAGCCTATCTACACCGACCCGTCCTTGTTCGAGCGCTCCCGGTCTCTACGCTCCCTTCACTCATTGGACATGAAACCCGACAGACGTGACCACCGCGCGTAACTTCGACAAGTCAACGCATAAATTCTAACACATATTTTTTACAAATAAAATAATATCTAACTCAAAAATTAATGATGAAACTTTCTTCAAAGTGTATCTCGATTTCGACATAAAAATGCCATAAATGCTCATACTTATTCCGTCCAAAATGATCTGCAATTATTAAAGTACAATATTTTGTTTTAACATTTTTATGTGTATTAATTTGAAACTTACTGTAAGTTGCTACTAATAAATATTTTACAGTGATTGTTCTTATTCAATTATTCCTTATAACATGTTAAAATGAAACAGTCAGTTATAATAATACTCAAGTATGGTTTATTTATCAATTCATATAGCAATAGGCTATAGTAAAACTTATCAATAAGTCATCATCTACATGTGATAGGGTGCTGGAGTTGGTACACTCATTAGAGGAGAGTCTAAATATTCCATTTCACTTGTGCTAGGAACTGGCTCTGACTGAGTAGTCATTTTTTGCTGCAAAGTCTCATACAGTTTATGAACAGACTCATTGTGTTGAGTGCCTGGCTGGAGAGCTTTCATAAGGGTCTGAATTCTTGTTTCAGGTAGTTTAGGATGGATGTACCAAAGTAATTTGAGTAAATGTCTAGTGACATTATCTTTAGATAACCCTGCAAAAAAGAATTCATCAAATAATACAGTACTGAAGTCTTCGCCTTGGAATTCATCAGGCAATTGTACTAATAGTGCCACAAGAGCATGTAAGAAAGGATCTTCATAAGCTCTTCCATCTTTGCAACTACCGAGGATACTAAGGATACGTAGCAATGCTCCCCTATCTCGCAGTTTAGCTGCATGTAATGTGTAATACATTGCTAGAACACCACATACAGAGTTTTCTCTCATGTATGCCTCACAAGCATCTGGTGGTGGTCCTGAATGTTCAATAGTGGTGATAGCAGACTCTCTCTCATCTGGGGGCAATTTATTATGCAAAGCTCTGACTTGATCATCCACCATAAGTGACATTAGTGCAGGTAAATATTTAGTGACCACTTGACTGTCAAGCTTAGGCTCTTTAAATTCTTGAGAATCAATCATAACCCAAGCACTCAAGCCTAGTGCTAACATTCTTAGTAAGAGAATCAATATTGTGTTATCTCTAGGTAGCGCTTCAGTATTTATTAAATGTTGTAATATTTTGATTGCAGAGGTTGCCAAGAAATTAATAGCATAAGGATCACATAGTGTCATAGACAAGTCACCCAAAACTTGTTCCTGTCCCCGTTTGATACTGTCCAAGAATCCTTGCAGTTCTCTTGACCTCTTTATGTCTACATTTCTTTCTCTAATACATGCATCTAGGCACCAAGTGAATTTGTGACAAGGATCTACAGATATAATATCCTGTATTTCCAAGTCATGCAATGCCATCAGCAACTCAGCTCGTAGAGTACAATAATGAACATTTCTTGTTCTCAAAAACAGTGTACGAAGGAACTGTAATACCATATCATATAATTTTACACTGTTGCCAATCATGTGCGCCAGTTTTTGGACAACCGCACCTTGCCTTCTAACCTTAGGAGACGGTGAAAAGAATAGGTTAGTGAGGTTCTCATGATCAAACAACACATTCTCTTTTTCCCTGATATATTGACTGAGCAGTGGTGATACTTCGTCACCAAACAGAGATTGATTATCTTGCCAGATCTGTCGTTTTACTTCTGTGTCCGTGTCATTATATAATTCACGATCTCTGACGAGAACTCTTAGAAATTTGTCATCAATGTGCGGAGTGTTCTTTAGTATACTCATAATAACAGGCCTCAGAGCCTTTACTCTAACAACGGGAAAGCTCTTCGTGAGCAGTTCTTTGAGTTTCTTATCATGTTCTTTACCATCTTTGGAACCAAGTTCGTTGATATGAGCTATTAGTTTATCTCTCAGTTCTTCAAGGACAGACGTATGAAAATCAAGCCGACGCACTCCATGAAGATCAAGCAAAGGCAGCATAGGCCGCAATGACGGTAATAAAATACCATTTTCCAACTGAAACTCTTCTATAGCCTTCAAGGGATCTGTACAACTTGTTAGTGCATCACGAAGATACGACTGACCTGGCACTCCAACTTCTTCCAAACCTGTGCCGGGCAGTTTACTAGACGAAGCCATAGTTTATTTGAATATTATGCACTTAACAAGCTAAAATAATATATTTTTTATGGAAACAAGCATTGTTTAATAAACAGTTATCGTGACGTTTTCCTGCATATTTTTTATTGTCTATGGTGTTAATGTGTACAGACATTTTAAAATCATGTCTTTTGAGTCTTATAAAATATGCGAATAAAATGGATAATAAAAAAGTCGTCATAATCATAATACTAAAGTAGAATGTTAATATAAATATTGGAAGAAATGAAATTACAGACAAATGTTTCTATCTTAGAAAATTAATGTATGAAAAAAAAACAAATTTTAGGGCTCTTTTCCACGCAACATCATTATAATGTATCTCTGCCATAACCGTTCGGATCCATTTTCTGAATTGTTCGCAGCTCTTCTTAAGGACCTATCGCTTTTGTTTTCACCAGTTGGCGCCACTGCCTGAACATGTCTTGCTGTAACGTCCTTGTGCTGTACTAACTGAAAACCTGTGGTCGACATTACATTCCCCTTTGATTCCCTTAAACTCTTTGACATTACAATACATTCAATACAAGTCTTTCGTATACGTAGTGTAGTGACCATAGAGTATAGTAATACGAAAAAAAAAGTAGTGGCTGCTCACCAAACTGCTCACACTCTCACACTTCACTGTTTTAAGCGTTTCACTGTTGTTGAACAGTTGCGATTGTCAATTTGACTGTTTGTGTCCTGTCTGTCATTTAAATAATTATAACCTCAAAATAAGGAAGCAAAACAAATACATTTAAAACTTTATAATCAATAATTTATTAGTGAAAAATGGATAAACAAAAAACGTAAGAACCATTATTTAATCTTGCTATAAATTCATTAAAACTGCAAGACAACATTTTTTTATCTTGTATTTTACATTTCCTATTTTGTAAAGCTGAAAAGTTTGTTTGTTTGTTTGAAGGCGCTAATCTTCGGAACTACTGGTCCTATTTAAATAATTCTTTTGATATTGAATAGTGCATTTATCGAGGTCTGTAGGATATAAACTATCACGCTACGTTCAAACCGAGCGGGTGAACTCGCGCAGAAAGAGCTAATCAACAAATAAATCACAACATACAAATATTGTAGTGATTTAAAACTTTTGTAATAAACCAAATTCTTTGATTCCAGATTGATATGCGGCGATGTAAATGGAAAGTTTAAAGCATTGTTTTCACGTGTGGAGTCAATCGTCAAGAAATCTGGACAATTTGATGTTCTACTGTGTGTGGGAAATTTTTTTGGGGATGATAATTCAGAGCTGGATGCGTATAAAATGGGAACTCGTAAAGGTAAATCAATTACTTTTTATTATTATAATTATATAAACTTAGTTACGAGTTGTTATCTGCACAGTGAAAAGAAAAAATAGATAGTTTATATCACATCAACATCCTATCTCAAAATCACCATAAAGCCTTGTGGTGGTTTTTCAAAAATACCATGAAGCGGTATGGTTATTTTTCTAAAAAACAATACACTTTTGAATTTATATACCTTTTGAATTTATATAACTAGTAAGGACAGTTCAGGGATGTACCAATTAGTAGTAATTTAGTTATTAAACAAGAGATTTCAAGTCGTCCATAGAGATTGTGCTTTAAAGATTCCTTTACAAAAACATGTTATTAATAATTCCTATTTGTTTTGCAGTTCCAGTAACAACATATGTTTTTGGACCATCCAAACCAGAACATGTGCCTCTATACTGTGAAGAAGGATCTGAAATAGTGCCAAATGTGATTTATATGGGTAAATATCCTAATAAAATAAAAAACTAATATATAACATATGTCATATTCTAGATCTTCATTTACATTTGGTTTTGTTTTGTTGGTTTTTAGGAAAAAGAGGAATATTTACAACTAGTGGAGATGTAAAAATAGCATATCTGACTGGATTATCTCGGAGGGAACTTGGCAAAGAGATTCCGATGTGCACATTCGAACCGAGTGACTGCAGTGCAGTGAGGGATGCATGTTTCAGAGGACAGAGTGAATTCAGAGGGGTAGATATGTTGATTACAAGCCTTTGGCCTGCAGGGATACAACAGGACGAAACACAGAAGGTAAGTTCAAATTCATTTGTTACAAGTAGGTCTAGTTATACCACTGCTAGTTAAGTTTCTAGTAGCATAAGGTACACAATCCTTACTAATATTATAAATCGGAAAGTGAGTTTGTTTGTTTGTTCCGACTTCACGCCGTAACTACTAAACCGATTGCATTGAATTTTTGCAGACATAAAGTTAGTAGACTGGATTAAATAATAGGGTACATTTTATCTCGAAAAAATTTGATATTTCCGAGGGAAAACAAAAGTATTGGTATAGATGGCGCTGTATGTATCGGTATATGTCACATAGGCTTTTTATCCTTTTGTGACGCGAGCGAAGCTGCGGGTAAAAGCTAGTGTTTTATATTGTTATAATAAGAAACATTATGTTACATAACATCACAACTTTTATCCCCAAAAGGGTAGGCAGAGGCCACTTTTCACTATTTATGTTATGAGTCCCATGTAATTGGGTGTGAGCCTTTTGTTATATACCGGACACAAATCCAGATTCTGTGCTACAACTGAGATATTTTTTTATAAACTAATACTTTGGATTTGGATATCGAACCCAAAACTTCTTGCTCGAGACACTTAATATTATGTTATTACTAAGTAATATACCATGTATAATATCATGTAATACCTAACTAACTGCCAGTTAGACTAATAGCAGTTTAATCACATTTAGTGGAACTTGCTCATTGATTGTCTTATTGGGCTTGGTATTTGTTTGGCTTTTTTTCATAATGCATTCTCTTTCAAAGTTCCTTGTGAAACATTTCTTTCTTCTAATTAACAATGTTTTTGTTTTTTCAGATAGATGTAGAGAAAGAGAGGTTATCAGACTTGCTTTCTTGGCTCGCTATTCATATAAAACCGAGGTACCATTTTGTACCTTCACCTGACAAACATTATGAACGACAACCCTATAGGTATGATTTATGTTCTTAGATTCAAAATATTCACGTTAGACAAGTAAATATGTAGTGTGTTTTAAAGTATTTTTTGTAAATCTGATAAGTATAATTGCAACATTTTGCAGCAAAAGAATATGTTTGTTGCATTAAAACTATTAAGAAAAGAATGTTCTAAAAAGGTTTTAATTTTTTCACAGAAATCTGTCCACTCATCAAGACTACAGAGAATGTGCGACAAGGTTCATAGCGTTGGCTCCAGTCGGTAACAAGGCGAAAGAGAAGTGGATCTACGCATGCTCCTTGCAACCGATCTCTACGATGAGGGTTACAGATCTGCTGCAAGGAACCACAGATGAAACTGCATGCCCGTATGATCCGGACCTGTTGATGCAACATCAACCTGGGAAAGTTGTTAAGGTAATTCTTTTATTATTTCAACCAGTCTACAACTCATTGAAGCTCTAGCTTGATAAGTGACTGCCTCTTTGGCCGATTGGTCGCAAGCGCAACTGCCGGGCAAGGGATCTCGCTTTCGATTCCCGGATCGGGCAAAGTATTACTTCAAAAAGGTTTATTTCAAAAAATTGTCAGCAGTAGCACGGAGCCTGGAATTGTGCCCGATATATGACAATAGTGAAAAGTGGGTGTTACATAGTACAGTGGCATTAAGTGCCGTAATGTTCACTTCTGCCTACCCCTTAGGGGATGAAAGGCGTGATGTTATGTTATGATAAGTAAGATGAACCAGCCCTCTAATGGCCGCCTATAACGTTACTGTTCTTAAATGGGCAAAAAAAATGTTTTTGTAAAATATATTACGTAACTATGAGATAACAGTTTTCCAGTAACTTAAGTGCATTATGTACATAACTACATATACATATAATGTTTTCCGTGTACGTGACAGCTCGCTGTGCGAATGTGGTCTCGATGAGGGAACCCTAGACCACATATTTTTCTCTTGCCCCCTAAATTCCCAATCCTTCGATTTATATGGAAACCTTCCCAAAATCCAAATCCCTCTTCCAATCAACTTCCATTCCCTCCTAACAAATTTTTCTCCCAAATTAATTAAGTGCTTGTCCAAATTTATTAAAGAAAATTGTATTAAAATATAACGTTACTAACAACTACCAGAAAGTTAAAGTTCGACGGTGCATTAACTGCCGTCACCACTCGACACTGGCAGTATAGTCGACAACATCGTATTGGAGACTCAGTTGCCAAAGAAAAAGAAAAAAAAAAAAAAAAAATGTTTTCTATTGCAGTTTAGTGGCAACGGACAGTACTTCTTCAGTTCGGATGGACCAGAAGATAATAATGCCAAGAGAAAACGAAGAGATAGAGAAGATAACCAAGAGAGGAAGAAGTTTAATCCAGGTAAGTGCATAGCAAGGTGACCAGGCAACACTGACTTTCTTAAATTTTGTATAAGAGTGACCAACTTTGACTACACGGTCGGTGCGGTGGCTGGGCAACCGGCGGCCGTGCAACGTGTCGCGGGTTCGATTCTCGCATGGAACAACTCTTTGTATGATCCTCAAATTGTTGTTTTGGGTCTGGATGTCATGTGTATGTGAACTTGTTGTGTACGTTTATAAACCTAGGGTGGAGCAAAGAAAGAGTAAATATTTATTGTTAATTTATTTAATTTTATAATTTCAGAAACATGCTGGTTCTGCCTGTCTTCCCCATCAGTAGAGAAACATTTAGTGATAAGTGTAGGTAGCCACTGCTACCTGGCTCTAGCGAAGGGGCCGTTGACCCCGTACCATGTACTTATTCTACCTATTGCACATCACCAGTCTCTTGTTAAAGTGAGTATTAAAATTCTATACGTTTTTATTAACTTTTGTAATAAGATATGAGTTGCTTCGTTGAGTCAAGTATTTAGTTTTCAAATAATAATTATGTATTAGTACATTGTGTTTGCTTTACCTGCTCTAAAACGAGAAATTGTGACATGGGGAAAGCTTAAAACTAAACATACCTAACACTTGTTTTGTGGTCAATCATGTAAAGATGGAGTCATAGACCAATGATGAGTATGTTTCTGCTATTTACATTTTCACACACATCATTATCTACAGCCTATAAGTGGCCACTCCTAACCAAAGGCCTCTTCTCGCAAGGGGAATATTTGAGCATTATCCACCACACTTGATTTCAAACATATAATTAGAAATTATGAGCCCAGATTTCCTCACGATGTTTTACTTCACCGTTTGTTAGTGGTGTCGGCGTCTATATAGTCTTAGAAAGTACATATGACTCAGAAAAAGTCACATTGGTACTTGTTCGAAACCTGAAAACCCTTCTCATGCATGAAAAGCGAGCGTCATAATACATACGTGTACATACTTATTTTGGACACGAGTCGTTATAAAAAATGTGCTTCTCGTTTTGACATCTTCCTTATTACCACTTGTTACGTCCAGGTACCAGACGAGATTTCAGAAGAGATAAAGAAATTCAAGGCAGTGTTAAAGCAGTTCTACGCGTCGATGGGCATGCTGGTCGTGTTCTTCGAGCGCAACTACCGCACGTCCCACATGCAGATACAGTCCGTGCCGGTGCCCAGGATCTGTGAGTCGCAGATATTGGAAATATTCCAGGTTCGTACTACATCGTTAACCTATTTTTGTACTATAAAGGGACTTGAGACGTTCTAAATTAATTTAAACATATAACTTCACACAGTCACGTTAGTGACCATTTATTTTTTGACTCAAAACGGGACTTTCCTTTATTTAGATTCAGTCAGGCATCTAGTAGCTAAATCGTATTAATGCCCCTGTAAACACAAACTATGTGCCCACAACAACAAGGTTAACATTATTAACTGCACAGAAATGTAGGTATTTAAGGTTCTTTCCACTGTACTTTGTCAAAAATTAGCGAGCTATGTATTATATAATTTATATTAATGGCTTTATGTCCAGGACGAGGCAGGCATAAACAAGATCCCCCTGGAAGTGCTCCCGCCGTACACGGACATCCGACAGATGATGTTTCCTGGCGCGCCATACTTCCACGCCGAGCTGCCCAACGGAGACCAGATATTCGCCAAACCTAAGCAGAATTTCCCGATACATTTCGGAAGGTGAGATACATAAGACTGTCAATTTATAATAAAAACATTTAGTCTTTTTTGTTAAGTTATTTTTTTGGGATAAGCCGGTAAACGAGAAGACGGATCATCTGATGGTAAGCAATCGTCGTCGCCCATAGACACCTGAAACGCCAGAGCCGTTACATTTGCGTTCCCGGCCTTTTGGGGATTAGGAGTTTGAGAATTGTTGGAATTAATGGATTGGAGAAATTGGTGAAGGGATGGGGGGGGGGGGGGATTATTGGGCCTCCGGTAACCTCACTCACATGAGGAAACAACGCAAGTGTTGTTTCATGTCAGTTATCTGCTCGGCCGTGGTATCACTGCGGTCGAGCCGGCCCATTCGTACCGAAGAATGGCGCTCCCACACTTCTAGTTAGTTAGAGTCTTATAGACTAATTACGCTGAAATACTCAGACGCCACTCAATTAAGCTAATACATTTCTTAATTTTCAAATAATTATTTACGTTTACAATTTTGTGTATTTTCCAGAGATGTGTTATCAACACCACAGATCCTGAACTGCGAAGATAAGGCGGACTGGCGACAATGTCTGATCTCCAAAGAGGAAGAAATAGAATATGTAAAGGATTTCAGAGATAAGTTCCGACCGTTTGACTTCACTGCTGATGCGGATAGCGATAGTGATTAGTTCGAGTAGTTAGACTACATAGTTATTAATTAGAATTATTATTATTATGAATGGGTAGGTTCCACAGTCAAAAATAAATAACAATAACTTTTAAACCGGACTACTAATGCTAATAGATACATGTTGTTTTTATAATAACCCTCGTGAGATACTAAATTAACTAAAAATCACGGATTACTCACATGAAAATACTGACCGCGCACGCTGCTCTTGAGGATGAACCCCCCTGTGGTTCGAAACTAGTAGAGCTTTTCTCGGTATATTTACGAGAGTAACTATATTAATTATGACCTTATAGTACAATAACTCGTACAAACGTTGGCGTTTACAAATTTTGACTTGTTGGAAACTACCCTATTTTATAATATAGTCATATACATTAGCGAATGTATGTAACATTTTTTTAAATATTTTGTGCAAGGACGTTGAAATAAAGGCGGAGACATTCTCTTGAAACAACGACTGTGGCACCATGCTACTATAGACTTACACAGAACATACACACATTGCCACGAAGGACATCAGTCATTTTCGTAAGTCTACCAACGTGGTAATCCCATTACACACGCACACATAAATAACTCACTGACATATTGGTGCTTCAATCATTTGTAACTGACATTATGTCTAACTTTTTTCAACGTCCTTGATGTTGTGTATATTGTACATATTAGTGTAAATTACCTGTTGCCCGCATCTTCGTCCCGGTAGAATATGAATTTTAGAACTCAATTTTTTTGTTTCATTTTTACAAAATAAATGTAGCCTATGTTACTTCTTAGTACATCTGTACAGCTACCTGCCAATAAAAGTCTTGCAAATTCGGTCCAGCCATTCCAGAGATTAGCCAGTACAAACAGACAGACGGAAGGACAAAAATTGTAAAAAAAATATCTTGGTATGTGTATCGTATGTATATTCATGATGCATGTAGTAAAAAGTAGTGGTTTAATATGACACACAGACACTCCAATTTGATTTAACTCTACAGATTTTAATGATAGTTAATGAATTTATTTTATAGCACACTGCAAGCTAACTAAGTTAAGTGATAATGATCTAAGAAAATGTATACGTAAATATGTATATTTGTGACTCATTTACTTTTCTGAGAAAATAAAAAGAATACAGGTACTTCGAGTTTTTTTATTTTTTCGCCAATATAACTTGAGTCAAGTTGAGATAATTTAAGTAAGCACAAGTTTCTACAGCATGATAACTTGTTTTTAAGTTATACGTACTACACGTTAAGTCTTGGAACATACGACTTTACAGTACGTAATATAGGACATACGTAGATATATTTTTGTTAGGATTTGTCTTCAGGGTCAGGGTCGGTGTCGCCAAAAGGGCACTCTAGGCAAATGCCAGGAATAAATTAGAAGTACTAATATTTTAAACGATAGGATACCTTGATTCACGTGAAAATCTAGCAATATTTCAATACAGGGCTTTGTGCAACTCCCTGTAAAGTTATTTTTTCTAATCTAGGGCCAACCCTAGCCCAATCCGTCGCCTAAATGGGCCCAGTTCTAAAATTTATAAAACATTTAGGCGAAACATATTGAAACTAGCCGCTCCCGGTTTCACCCGCTGCTTGGCTCCTATTTATTATAGCGTGATATTTTGTAGCCTATCATTTCATTCATGCATTCGTCGATAAATCGACTATCAAACAAAAGTACCATGAATTAGAAATCGAACCACTAGTGCCTGCTCTAATTTTGTGTTTTAACTATAGAACAACTTGTTTCATATACAACAATATTTTAGACTTAAAAGAAGGTATATTTGATATACATGCATACTTTTTTTTTAAGTGGGTAAAATCATCGAATGACTGCCTCACCCAGGCGAGAGGGAGTGTCAGACTGTTACTGACTAAAAACCACCCCGTTTCTTCTACTGCACGTCGAGCCGGAGCCCCGGTAACCCGTTAGGTTCTCCGCGACACCGAATCGGCATCGGCCCTTTGGGCCCATCTGTGGGTGGTATGACTCTTTGAGGTGCGCGCGGAACGAGACGCGCCGTACGCTCGGGTCTGTGTCTGATCGGACGGGGCACCCATGCTCGCCGTCCGCAGGCCCGCGCTTACGGTGGCTGGAGATCGTCCCGGGATCCCCGACGCCCGGAGTGTCCTTCGCGACCGCTGGGTTGCGAGGAATGCACACATACTTAGCATAACGATTAATTGAACGCAGTATTGATTGATTTAATTTATAAGAAGGTAAAATAAAATACAGATTTCAAGTAAATGAATTTTTATTTTCGTTCACATCATACTGTCCTAGTAACTCATTTGTTTGCATTATAAAAACATATCTTGTAACAACATGATTAACTAACCCTTATACATACTTGTGTATTATTTATTAACAAAATGTCATAAAAATGATATGGTACATTGACTAGTATTCTGAATGATTTAAGAGTAATGATTTTTATAACAAATTTTTGCTCCTAAACTTGTCTAAAATAATGCTAACAAAAATTGGGATTTGAAGGGATTTTCGCGTCTCTAACCTTGAATATTTGACCAAAAGTGACCTCTAAACTAAAGAGAATAAGATTCGTAATATATGTATTTTGTATCTTGACTGAATGACGTTTAGTAAAAATTTCACCATACCCAAATATTTGAAATTGGAAACGTTGATGCAAATGCAATTATAATCATATGACCAGGGGGCTTACTCCCGAATCCAATTCCAATCGATTGACATTGGTATTTTGAAATTTCGTGCTCTTGAGTTCAACACTAGCGCCAATTGCATCCGTATTGCGTGGATATTCAATAAACTAAACTGTATTAAGTTTGGCTGTATGTGCCGTACTCTGAATGCCATTTTAACAGCTACGATAGGGGTTGTATAGTTTTGACATTGAATAATTATTGAGATTTTATTGGATTGAAATTGTATTGACATTTAGATTGGTTTCAAGAGTAAGCACCTAGAGGCCGATTAAACCTGACACCTTAGACAAGCACCAGATAGGAGCGCTCAAATATTATTGGTGCCGCCGTACTCTATGGACATTTAGGCTCACGCGTCTCCCGGCGTCCCACTGTACCCTGGCGCCTTAGGCACTTGCCTAGTGTGCCTTACGCATAATACGGCTCTGCATATGATTGTAACATTAACGCATTAAAACCATTACTTGACGATCACTAACAAAATCTACATCGTACTGACTAGCATTAAGTAATGTGTCTAGATTATATAAAATAGATCTCAATTAAATATAGGGCAGTCTTCGTTGGAATTACTAAAGAGTGTCAACGTAAACGATTAATATTGTAAACGATTATAAACTCAATTGAAAACATCTTGATGAATACAAACTGAGTATGTTTGTCAACACTCGTAAACTATTCCTACATAATACAGAGGTCTTAGTACTAGTTTCTTTTTCGTTTAAAGTAATCGAAACGAGACGGCGTCCAGCGCTCTGATTGGTTGGTTGATTGGAGCCGGCCAATCACAACGCCGAACGCGTACTCGTTACGATTAATTTAAACGTAAAAGAAACTCGTACTAACACCTCTGAATAATTTACATACAAATTGTAAATGTCTGCCGTTATTTAGATAAGTGTATTGTCACGTTTTACTGTTCACTGAGGATTGCGTAATACTATCATTATTTTACAACGATTATAATGCGCGAATTTATTTATGGGGGATTGTTTTGAACCCGCATATTTTAACAACTGTAAAACAAAGCGAAAGTATAAAAAAGAGTATGTATTTTAAACTTGTAGTACAATATTTAAACTGTCTGTAAATATATGTAACAAATTCTTAACTTTTCGGTAGTTATACGCGTTCAAAACGATCCGTTGTATACTATAATACAATAGGTAGGTATCATTGTCGACAATAAGCAAATATTTTTGAGTACATGAACAGGAGAAATTAAATAAAATTTCATCGAAGCAGTCTGGGAGGATAGTTTAAGCTTAGTTCGAAAGTTCGGTACAATAGTCGTTCAATAAATCGTAGAAATGTCTGAATAAAGTTTTTGTGTAAACGGTGTGCTGTATACATTTACAAGTATTCCCTTGCATGCTCACAGAATGCGGTTCGTCGTTGGCACTTCAACAAATACTTATCATAATCCTAAGATATAAATATTTACTTGAAAATTCATTTACACACTCCAAAACCTTAATGTAATAGACAATGATAAGATTTGCCAATGAAAACATTCCCGTTCTCATAAACTTTACAACAATCAAACAATTCGTATTTAATTAAATATGGGATATAATTACGCAATTACATCCGTAACTAGTTTTAAGACTTTTGGTCAATAAGGCATTAAGTTTAAAATATATATTTTTATTTTAATTATTGTTCTCCTTATTTTTTATATTCGATAGTCATTAGTGTACTTAGCATTAATTATATTATTATTTACACAACGACCAACGGTTTTAGAACCTACAACTTTAACGGTAGTCGAAACCGTTATATTTTAAAATACTCGGTTTCAGAGTACAAAAAGGATTAATGAGTTACGCTATTATACGTGGCACTAAAGAATAAATATAATTATATTGGCTATCTCTATCTATCTACACTTTATGTACACGTCTAGTAAATATGGAAGTTCTGTGGAGTTTGGCAACTTGTAGTAAAAATGTACCAACCAATATACAGTAGCAACAGTATTAAATGGAAGGTCTATGCGATTCCCTTACAAAGTAGAAAACCCGTGACCAAGGAAATAAGTAACAATATAACTGAGTAACTTTATAGTTCGTTTATAAATTCATCTAAACTTAAAACGCGTCTATGGCAGTGTTGAATAAATATAGGTAGTACCTAACCCTTTCTTTGGAACTTCAAATTCAGATCAGCAGTGCAGTATTGTTGAATAAATTAATTCAGATTGACCATGCCTTATTACCTACTCTTACAGAGTAACAAAATCTAAATATATACTCTCCAATAAGTATCTACATAGATACAAGATCATAATTTTGAAAATATCAAAATCATTCACTTTAGTCTTTTCATGACGAGGCTGTCTTTGATGGCGCCTCTAGCGTACGAACGTCATTGGTCAGAACAAGCTTGACATTTAACAAACGTCAATTAAATCTGTTCTGATTGGCTGTCCACAAGACGCCATCTTTAATAATGCCGTTAAGTCGTTCAAATTGCGGCTATGTTCAAACGTTGATTTGGAAGGCTTCTCGAGTAACTTTGGGATCGTGTGCGGTGTGCTGAGGGTGTGAGGGATGTGGATGTGGGTGTGGCGCCCTCTTTCGTCGATGATGTCCCTCGCACTCAGTGTCGTCCGAGAAGCGAGACGGCGGATGAATGTGCTCATTGAATGACGGGTAGTTCGATATACTGCGAACAAATTTGTTATTACTTGCAAGATGCTAAAGAAATAACCATTTATTTCATTAATAATGAAAAAAAGTACAATTGCAGTTGTAATGTATTTTTTTTAATTCTAACATATTTAAAATTGGTTTCTTAATAGAGCCTCAAGCTCAACATTTTAATTAAAATACAGTTACTAATATTATTTTTAGAGATATTTTAAAGGATAATCTTTTTAGAATTATAGAGGAAGGTGCATAAAGTTGATTTTTATAGGTGTAAGACCTATTATTACAGAATTTGACAAGACTATCAATTTTGCAGCAGCAGAGACTTATGCATGTATTTTTAGTCTATTACTTTACTTTATGCATATTCCTCAATTAATTAAAAGTAAAAAAGTAAGTAAACAAGTCTTCTACTGCTCACAGTGTCTACAGGTACCTGAAGGTGGTCTCGTCATTATGGCTGCTGTACCCTGAAGACGAGCGCACATGTCGCTTGCCTAGTGCCCCCGCCTTGCCCTTACGAGAAGGAAATGCTTTCCTCACTACTCCCCCCACTGAATTTTCTGATGATGACGATGATTCTTCGCGCTCTACGCTTGGATCTGGAAGGCAGAGTATTGTAGTAGTTAGTAACAATTTAGTATCTAGCTAAAATGATTGACGTCCTTGTATGGTCTATGCTAAAAGAGGTAGGAAAGGTTCGTAGAAAGTGGCATTCGATAGATTCTGTTTACTTCTAAGGGACAAACGGTGTGGTTACCTATGTTGTTTGAAAATATTACCCCTTTATGGGAGAAATATCACGATAAGTAAGATTAAATAGCAAAGAAGGACAATACAAGAGATATTGTCATCACGTTCAGGTAGGATTTTTTGTGAAGAATGGGTTGCTCAAGGTGTTTCAGAGATTATGCTAGGTTCTGTTTTACAAACTAACATGCGGTGGGGTGTGCAGGTCTGAGCCTGGCCTGCGGCTCACTGTCGGAGTGCGGCGCGCTGGCGTCGTCACTCGCGTCGTCTTCATACTCTGTAATGGGCAGGTGCAGCGTTAGTATCTTCTTCACCTCCGAGTCCGTCGAGCCCAAGTTGTCCGACTCTGCAATATTAACAACTTTGTCAGTATCCAGCACAAAGAAGATGGTAGCCGTGAACACGCCACGAAACAACACTACGAAATTTAGTGATTGTTGTGCGACAAGGTTTTGTATGAATAGGTAATTTCGTAGATGTCTGTTTTTCATCTTTGAACTTGAGTCTCTTTCGTGGCGTGATCCACAGCAAAGCACGTGACAATTAAGTAAAAACCATGGCTGATATGACCAGAATGGAAGAGCGCACGACACTAAGGACAGGACGCCAACACTTAGAAGCAGGAACGTTCACACTAGATCATGACAATGAGTGAACTACACACATATAACGAAAGGTATGTCACAATACATACTGTGTGCATGCTTACCTTTATAAATTACAACACCATTTACGCTCCCAAAGGTTGCATAAAAGGCGATCATTATGTCAAATTACAATTCAATTACTTAAACTTAAATGGGACAAAGTAAACTTAATTAATAGAAGGTGCAATCTACGTAAAACAAAAGTATATGTATCTAACTACGTCATAGATACTCTGTAAGCTGTTGTACCGTATACAGATAAGGGAGGTTCGTACCTTGGCTCTCGGAGTGTGGGTCTCGCAGTCTGTTGCCTTTTCTTCGTACTTTTGTGTACTCTGGCTCCTTGCCCTGTAAAGTATAGGTATTATAATTATGTCAAGTTTCTATACTTTTGCGACCAATAAATTAGAAATCCTTAACGCCAATAAGCTTTCAAAGATGATGTTTGTGGACGCTTTAGCGCACAGATATGTAAATGAGGAATCAGTTGTTACAATTGTTGGCGATGGTATTTTTCGTGTTTTAAAATATTACGCATCAGCTTCTACAAATTTTCTAACGGACTCATAAATTGGAATCTGGTCCTCCAAAAGTCCTTTAACTATATAGAAGAGTCCGCAGTACCTTATATTTGTCATTCTGCTTAAGGTCGTGGTACACGAAGGACCCCCTCACAGAGTGGTAGGGACCGCTGTACACGTTGCCGCTGTAGCTGCTCTCGCTGTACGCCGTCGGCTTCGTCAGCTGGAACGTCGCGTACGGGCATATGTCTTCTATGTACTCTGTGGAGATTCGAAATTAGTTACTTAATTTAAAGGTTGGAAAGGTTATTCTGAAGCTGATGATAGAAGGCCTCTTTTGTGAACAATATAGTAGGGGAGCCCATGAAGGGATTTCGGTAGTTACTCGAGCGCGTCAGATAAACATATGGGGAAAACCTAGTGTCATGTTGAATATACCCACCATATGTCCGATCTGATTAGAAGCGGGGACGAAAAATTTAAAAAAAAAGTCTGACTAAATAAAGTCAGTTTCGTCAGATTAAGGGAAGGTAGGTCAATACCATGCTAAAGGAAGTGCGTTTAAAAAATCTGCCCATTCCAACTTGATTTACAAGAGTGGGGGGATTTTGAAGGGTTCTCGTTTGTACTCTCCGGAACATTCAACCCCACCATGCAAATTGGCAGATTAAGAGTTTTTTATTATTAAATACACATGGAGCATGTACACTATCGATATCTGACACGCTCGACCACTAGAGCAAAAGTTACGCTTAACAATTTCAAAGATCGTTGGATTCCCCCTTCCCCCACCGGTGGAAGAAATTGTCACTAAACCATTTCTTATTTCTATCAGCATATCTTCAAAATCCAGTAGGTTCCAACGACGCTCAAGTAAATCCAAATTTAGTATATAATCTATCTTTTTGGATAGAGTTGGGTAGTGCGTTTTCGGTATATCTTAGATTTCTAAATCTAAGAATATATAGAAAACAAAGATTTTTGTAATCTCTTCTTGAAAAATCTTCAGTGTGTTTCTGTTATGCAGACTTGAACGTTCCAAAAATCTGAATTTGTCCAAGAAAGTGAGCTGCTTATAATAAAATAACATTGTTTACCATTAGAAGCATGTTTGTAATGGTGTTGTGGAGGTGGGTGTTGTGCCCTGGCGGCCAGGTACTGCTGGTCGCGGTTCACTTTGTTCTGTAGCTGGGCCACAGACGGAGACTCGCCCACTCCACTCTCTGTGGCCACCGTCTCTGTGGTACCAGCTTCTGCAGGCAACAATCATTGTGAAAAGGATCTGTTCTCGATATCAATGGGATATTAATTAAAGGCTAGCTATATTATAATTACACGAAATACAGTCAAAGCGGGTAGGATAAGAGTAATTCATTGTATATAATGTTATCAAAAACAGCGTATATATAGCTGTTCTTGTATTGGGAGAATTATATTGCAGTCTTTTAAATGGTTTGTCACAAGAACCGTTACAATTTTTGAAGATTTTCATTTGTAAAGTCTTTTGACGTTTAATAGACCAAAAATATGCTTATGAGAATCTAACAATAAAAATAAGTAAAAAGAACTGTCTGTCGGTTATTTCTTTAAGAAGTTAGAAAAAAAGAGAGTTAGAGGAGTAGCACATGTATATACCAAAGGTAGTGTACTGACTGTTCCTGCGCACGAGCAGCACGATGGCGAGCAGCGCGCCCAGCACCAGCAGCGACAGCGCGGCCGGCAGCAGCACGCGCGCGCCGCCCAGCCCGCGCCCCGCGCCCGCCGCCGCGCCCGACACTTCGCCCTCCACCACTGCGGGCACCGCTGACACTTTATTACTCATTTTGAACTACATTTATTAAGTATCTTACCTGCAAATTATGTTCAAGTATGCAGTTTTTAGAAAGCACGTAGTACAAATTATTCCGCATAATATATCCTATCGTGGAGGATTGCTGTTCTATTCGATCATCAGAGTTTTTAGAATGTTGTGCGTCTTCGGTCCCCTATTCTATGGGACTCGTAAGTGGTAAGAAGCGTGTGTTACATTGCAATTGCAGATTACTCCATGTGCATCTCTCCTGCCCCTCCGGAGGGTTCAAAAGAGGACGGAACATGTGACTTTATCTATGTGCATTTGACTTTATCTTTGTGCAATATACATATTATTTAATGTATTTTGGGGCTATTGTTGTCCAATTCTTTGGCTTTTTACCCGACTGAAGGAAAGCGTTAACAAAATATCCCACATGACGAAAGGTACAATGTTGGAAAGGGATTTACAACACACTTTAAATAACTTTCTAGGTTGTTTGAGATACATAATATCATTAAGAAAGACTTCTAAGTTAGTTTCCAAGTTAGACCTAAGTGAATAAATAGAAGATAAATATACTTACTACCGCTAAGTGAATGAGTGGTGAAGTTGTAGAGTGCTACAGCGTGTCCTGCGTTGTTGTGTGCTGTGATTCGGAGCTGGTAGTGAGTCGCTGGCGTTAGACCAGGCACACTAAACACTCGTTCTGTTGCTTGAACACTATTTGATACAAGTCGCCACTGGAAACAAGAACAGTTCTAATTAGTCGCCAAAACTTTTAGAGGAACTATTGAGCGTTTCATATTTCGCACTTTCAGTAACAAACTACTGCTTTAGTATTGCATATTATGCTCTACGTTACGTGGATTTTTTGATATTAAAAATGATATTAATTTCATCTAACCTGTGATTGACTGATCTCTCGGTATTCAATGACGAAGTAGAGAATACCACAGCCACCGTCTCCCCACGAGTCGAGCCACACCGTCACCGTCGTAGTGTTCAGAGTTATCATTTGAGAGTGCTTCGGTTTTACAGGAACTGTGAAATGAAAATCACATTTAGATTTTAAGGCTATCGCAGAGTTCATGCTTTTAGACGCTTTTCTACTCCTTCCTCTTTCTCCTCCTTCAAATGTTAGCATACGTACCTACCTACAAGTATTTGTCAGGAAAAGTTATTGTCAAACAGATTGCTTCTGACTTACACTAATACGAAATCAGCTGAGGATACTTAACAAAAAAATCTTTTTTGTTTTATTAAATGGAGAAACAATTTCGTCACTTACCAGTGCCCTTAGTGTACGCGTGCACAATATCACACGGCAGGCCCGTGCCGATGCGGTTGAAGGCAGTGATGTACAGTTGGTATCTCGTCCCGCACCACAAGTTTGGCAGCACGTGTTCAGACGTCCCAGCTTCCACTTGCAACTCCTCCCAGTCGCCATGTTCTCGTTTGTAGTTTATAACGTAACCTAGAAAATTAGGGCGTTAATTTTTGCACTCCATAAAAATATAAGATATTGATTTGTTCGTCTACCAATTAGAAATGTCTTTATAAATGAATTTAGAAAGAACAATTTCAACTTTTGTTTCTGGACAGCTTCTTGTATGTATTAGAGTCGAGTTTGGTTTCCAAGGGACTCATAAACACAATTTGGATTATATGAGCTGGTCACTAATAAGTTACCTAATATAGGGCTGCCACCGTCACCCTGGTCGCTCCACTGAAGATGTAGAGAGTCCGCGTAGGAATCCACAACAGCCAACACGGGCGGTTGAGGAGGCACCTTCACTTCAACGCTGTATGTGACCTCGTCCCGACCGTGAACGTTTTCAACAGAACACGTGTAGTTCCCACTGTCCAAGTACTGCGTCATGCTGTGTCAATGGTGTGAAGGGACATAGTGAAAAATCTAGCTTGTACAAAATGAAGTGAGCGCAGCTAACAGAATGAGATTAAAAGAAGACGATTGTGGATAGATAGAATACACCAACACCAAGGAAATTGAAACACATATGGCTTTATTGATGAGACCTCTCTTTGTATAGCTGCAATAGTTACCTGATGACCAAAGAACCGTCGCTGGTGACATTTTTCCTAAGTGTCGACTCCAAGGTAGCTCCATTCATACTCCACGTGGTGGATGGAACTGGTACTCCGACTTTATTGCAAGGCAGCGATATGTTCTCTTTCCAAGGAGTTACGATGCTTCGGCTGAAAGATGTTATCCGAGCTGGCACTGTCAAAAAACGGGCTTTTTTTGAATAGAAGAAAATGCACACCAGTGACCTAAACTGGCGTTGAAAAGACTGCTTCACAGTCAGAGCTTTATTCCTCGAATACAAATATCGATATTGCAGTCTGAGGACTATAGAATTTTGTATAATGGCCAAATGAAGTTACAAATCAGAAAGTTCGATACGAAATAAAGAAAGATTGTAGACTAACCTGATTCAGAAGGTAACACCGTGACAACTCTAGTAGCTTCTCCTTCTCCGAGCCTCGTTGAAGCTGACACCCAGAATTGGTGAGTAGCTCGCGGCGGTGATCTCGATGTCTCGTGGGATAAGGTACTTGGAGACAGCATGCGTTTGTGAGTTCCCTCCTAAAGTGACATCGAAGAAACCATTTAACAGATGGAATGAATCCAACATGGCTCCTACATTTCTAAGGTACTTTTGTGATTAAGAGAAAATATTATGAGGGGATGTGTAGAATGAATTAATTGAATAAAAGAATTCAGGCAAGACGAAATTGTGCGAAGTGGTGGAAGTGACAATATCTTCGAAATTGGTTAGATGCAGGGGTAAAGAACAGATGTAATGCAGGAGTGCTAGCTACATGCCGATGTGTAAGATTAATTGCGAAAAAAATATCACTGTCTTTCCTGTGTTTGTATAGTGATATTTTTACACCTACGAATATGTTTTTGGTTAAAATTAAACCTATGAGTAAGTTTGTGCAGTGTTACTGGAGATAGAAGAAGATAGTGATATAGAAAAAGGTACCTACTTGTAAAAGGTTTTAGATGGTGAAGAAATAGAGAGAGATAGAAGATAGCAGTGCTTCAGTTATTTTGGTCACGTGAAAGGGTGATTAAGGGCAATTACCTAAAGGAATTCGTACTTTATACCGACTAAATGCCCCATTAGGTCACACTAACCTTATTGGCGGTGTCCTTGAAAAAAGTTCAGGTGCTTGGTACTTGGTACTCGCAATCGGTTCGCATGTATGAAAAGATGAATGAATGTGGAAGAAGCAAAAGGGATTGTGGTATGATGCGTTGTTGTATTTTATGTATCATTTTGAGATCACGTCGATTATTTTTAACTTAAAAAAATTCACAGAAATTTTCATTTACAAAGACGATTAGGAACTCGATTTTTTGTGTTTTATCTATTTGCAGTTCACTATAAACCCTCGTATCTTATTGTTGAGTTGAGTTGGTAACTTTTTAATAACTATCCTACTGAACTTCTTCGACAAAATTATGAATGTTAGCTTTTAAGCAACATGAAGATTAAGAGCATCCTTCTTATTTCAATTTAGATAACAATGAAACAAACCTCTCGTCCATCTTCAATGACGCTCATATACAGAGTGTAGCCGACGAGGACTCCGTTAGGTGCTGCGGGCGGCAGCCATGATACCAAGATCTTATTGCGAGATGACACAACTGCTTTGATGTCAGCTGGTGCTGAGGGTACTGTGAAGAACAATAAAATATAATTATATATATGCATATTTCTTTACGTAATTTTTTTCTCTTCTGTTACACGCTCTGTCTTATGTTTAAATTTCAACAGGAATAAGTAGCACCTATGTACTCTAATTTTATAGTCAGATTTTAGTTATTAGAGGGACATACAATTTCTGGATACTATATTTAGTTAAAGACTTAATTCAATTACCATCTTCCTCCGTATGACAGTATACAGGCGCAGCTCTGACCCCATCACCAGCAGCCGTAAAGGCACACACCGTGACCGAATAATTCGTGAATCGCCTTAGACCAGATAGCGTCGTATGTAGTCCCGATATTTGTTTCGTCACCGCTTCTTCATTCCCTGCAATAGAAGTTACTTCAGGATTCCGAAGTAAGGGAAATTCAAATGTGGTGGATGATTTTGAATGAATCAGTTAACAGCATAACAACCTACTTCAAAGTGTCAAAAGATTTTCAACTTTTGTTGCATAATGATACGTTTTAAAACCAATTGAAGGGTTTGGAACAGCTTATTTTTCTGTTTTAGAAAGAAAATGAAAGTCTATGATCAATGATGCTTACCATACCAATCTGTGACTGGTGCGTAAGTGACCCTGTATCCCTGTAATACTCCATTGCGTCCTCTTAGAGGGGGAGGTTCCCAAGCGACGCGAACTGATTGAGAACTTAAAGCTGTGCATTGTAACGCTCCTGGTGGTAAACTTGGAACTGAAAGAAAAAAAAATATGGGTTTTGTTGATTGACATTGAAATTACTGTTTAATTGCTGTTACTGGAGTATTCTGAAGTTATACTCGTTCGTCGATAAGACTGTCCGTCTTTCTTTGATTATAAAGAGCAAACTCCTATGAAATAGTAGAGTGGTCAACTGCCAAGCTACAAGACAGAACATCTGGTAAAAAGTACGTAAGTAGCCACTTTGAAACATCATCAAGAGGAGCTGTAAAATTTAATCGATGGTAAACTTGTTTCGCAACTCACCATCCTCCATAGTAGTAGCAGTAGTAGGAGGTGAAGCAGGACCTGCACCTCTACTGTTGTAAGCCTGCACGACTACAGCATACGCTGCGTGCTTCTGGAGGCCTGATAACGTGGTCCGTGCCCGAGCAGTTCCAGCTCCTTCTACCGTACGAACTGTGTAGGAAGCCCCACCGGGACCACTTGCGCTTAGGACTGTGCTGTTGCTGTTTAGCTGATGAGATTGAAGTATTTTTAGTTTAATGCAGAGTTTTATGTTTGTTGGTGACGATTGCCGGGCAAGGGGTCTCGGGTTCGATTCCCGGGTTGGGCAAAGAATTACTGGGTTTTTAAATATTCTCAGTAGTAGCACGGAGACTGGAATTATGCCCGGTATATAGCAATAGGCTCACCCCCTATTACATGGGACTCATAACATAAATACTAAAAAGTGGGTGTTACATTGTACAGTGGTATAATGTGCTCTGCCTATCCCTTCGGGGATAAAAGGCGTGATGTTATGTTATGTTTTATGTTTGTTCTGTTTTTGTATAAAAGTATAGTATATTTCTTTTTAACGTCAAGGTCGTAAAAGGTACTTAAAATAATGATTTCTTCAATCTTTGCAATTTACATCTAAACTTGGACAATTTGTTGGCAAAACGTCTTAATAAGTAATTTATAATATTATAACTAGATCAACAACTAAAATATATACACCTTAAAAAAATAATGAAAAAATAATAATAATGAAAATAAATCATAAGGCATCAAAGAAAACATTTTCCTTATCGCTACCGTGAGGTAGGGTGCCCAAAAGACTGGCAGCATTGCCACGTTGAATGGCAATGCTTAACCTTTGCCCAAAGTAGTAGCCAAAACTATTCTCTAACAATTAAAACTCACCTCTTGGAATCCTACGTAGTAACCAAGAATGTTTCCGTTCCAAAGGTCTCTTTGCGGTGGTTCCCAGCTGACAATTAGCTCCGTAGAACTTTTCGCCTCTACTCGGACGTCCAATGGCGGTCCGCTAGGGACTATAGAAATAATTTGATTAAATTGTTTGCACAGTTACATTATGAAGACTTGTCGGTTGCTTCTTAATTTGAGTTAGATTTCGATAGTGGCAATTGTTGAAATATTGACAGTTGTAATTTGAACTACTTATTTAGAGTGTCTTATATCAATTTCTGTGTCGATAAGTTAAATCCAATGAAGATTCATGGTAATATGTTAAGGTAGTTTTTCATTATGATGGAACTGCTTTTACTGATGACTTGTTGGAGTTAAGTACTTTTCACATAAGTACAGTGAAGAAGATATGTATAATCTTTCTGTTCAGTAAGTCAAAAATCTTAATAACTCACCCTCTTCAGTCGTAGTGACTTGTATCAGCTGACTTGGCTCGCTCTGTCCCAGTCTGTTCTCTGCTATTATTCTGAGATGGTATGACGTCGCTGGTTGAAGGTTCTGCACGCTGGCTGAGGTTACACTGCCCGGGACTATCACTTTTTGCGGTGTCGTTGGCCAAGAATCTGGTTAAAGATGAAGAACTTTTTTAAAAATGAAGTGTTCCAAAGAGCATTCCAGTTCCAATAAGGTTGGATTTTGCATGTCGTTTTATAAAATGTTGATATGTTTTAAAAATCAATTGGCTCTCAATTATTGAGTTTAGGCTCACCTGGTGCTTCCTTATATTGCACTATGTAGTTGATGATAGGACTATTGCCAGCATACGGTTGAGTCCATGATATTTGTATGGAACGAGACTGTTGATCTATGATCCTTATATTTTTTGGCATTTCAGGAACCTAAAAAATTAATAGTAAAAACCCAAATTAGTGAGTTCTAAAAGTATGACGAGTAAATCGAAAGTAAAAATTTAATAAATACTACAAACTCGAAAAACGAAAAATAGTCGTCAATTCTCACCTCTTGGACAACAAGATGTATCAACATTTCATCCTGTCCATAGGCATTAGAAGCTCGGCAGGTCAGTGCTCCTGTATCTTGTCGGTAAGTCTGTAGGATGCTCAACTCAGACACCAAGCCATCGTCCAGCACTTGTTCTCGTATTGTATATCTGTAATATAAGTACTTGGTTAACATAGTTTGCATTATAAGTCATCTTAGTGATCCGATATACGTAAACTTTTATTTTAAATACACGGAATTTATCTGCAGTCCTTAGGTACACAGAGATCAATATTGAGTTTGAGGCTGAAAACTTAATGGCAATTTAATGATAAGAACCTCTTTCAGTAAAACTAAGAGTAAAACTGGGGAAGATTTGGAGTAATTATAACTTTACCCACACTTTTAAAGGACTTTTGGGGAGTTGAGTTTCATTTATATTAAGCTTCTAATTACCTTTGATCCAAATGATGTGCAATAGTGTGATGATGGGGACTTCGCCAGCTGACTTCCAAAGGTGAGTCTCCCGATGCAGCACACTGCAAGTGAGCAGCTTCTCCAGCTGTTACCTGCACTGTTTTACTCTTCATTGGAAACCTTGCTGGTGCTGTCGTGTGAAAAAAGAGACGTCAGTTTAATGGTAAAGTCGTAAATAGATATTGTATTTCAGTAATTCTTCTACTGCCTACGTTAAATATATGACTGTTAACAACCCCCAACCGAACTGTCATAATTCCCATTAAATGAAGATCTGATTTTATTAAAACAGAATAGCGTATTTAATTCTGGATCTATTACTTAATCTCTTACTGTCGTTTAAAAGACCTTTTCAATTTCGAGAAGTTATATCCAAGCAATCGCAGAAAGCAGCTCAATAAATTCGAAACACCGCTCAGGTACAACAATCGGCTAACTTAATCGACCCCGACCGTGCCAAGTTTCACTAACTAAATCCAAAAAAAAATGGCGGACGAATTGTCTGGTCTAAGCAATACATCATTTTGCGAGCAAACGGTTCTTGATTAAGTTATTTTAGCACCGATTCTGTATAGGTCAAATGTCAGTGATGAAGTGTCTATCCGTAAAATATTTTTCAATATCACGGGCTATATCGGATACTTCACCTTTTTTGTTCAATGTCTGCATTGTACCGTTTTTCATATTGGCAAGAAATCAAGAGCTGTGGCCGCGCACTGAGATTGCCTAACCCCACTCTACAGGATTCCCTTTGAGTGTGCGGAAAAAATATTTCCATAAAGGCAGCCTCGTTACATCATGCTGCTGTTATACCAATGTTATTTATTGGCGAATACCTTGTTTACGATACCCCCATATTTTAAAGATTTATTGTTTGTTTTAAAAATTACTGGGCCATTAGGACGCTCAACCGAAATTCTGTTATTTTTGTCGGAGCACGGACGAGAGACCGCTTTAAATCTATTTATTTAGGTTCAAGTGAACGTCGGTAAACTTTGTTCATGTGTAAATCCTGGTGAACCTTGTGTCAAACCGAAATAAACAAGCGGGAAATACGATTACGGCTAGAAGCGGAACTGTTTACAAACTGTTCGCGAACGTGACGGGTTTAGGAGCCGGCCGCCACCCGTCCGCCGCAATCGAACAAAGTTTCTCTGCTGTTTGTACAATCTACGATTTGTTAACGTTACCATAAATAACAATCTTCGTTTGGTCCTTTGTTTTCACCTCGACAGCGTTTGATTTTAACAATCATAAATAACCAAGGCTTTGTAGGCTTCACGGCGAACCATATTTCATGATATTTCCGTCTCAACAAAAGCCAATATCGGTGAATACAAACACGTACACGCGGACTTATTCTAGCGGAAGGCAACTGTCTCGTTTTCCAATAAAGAGGAGACGTATTGCGACGTACGGTCATTGAGTTTTCTGCTCAGACGCGCTCGACTCGCGCTGCCGACCGCCGACAATCGAATAAACTAGAAATACATCGTCTCGCCTTTATTGTGTCCGTCCAGCGGATAAGAGGGCACACTTTAATTATAAGTTACCGGAGGATCACCAGCTGCCATAGTCGATATTGAGTTCGTCTGTTGGCTAACAGCAATTGTGTCAACCCACACGACTAGAGCTAAAGTTATATTTCTTCACAGTAGGTACATAAGTAAGAAAGTTTCAAAAGGACCGTAAACAATATTACTTGTCTAACGCCTGCAAGTAACATAAAAACAATCACTGCAAAGTAAATAGCGTGTCTAAAGTTGTGCCTTGTCTTACATTAAAGAACTGACACCGGCGCTAATTGAACAAGTAACTTTGCCACTTAAATTTTCATAAAAGTTAACAATGAAATGTAGGTCCAACCTCAGAACGATCTAAATTAAGTTCGAAAGTACTGACAGCAGCATCAGGGTCTTAACAAAGTGGGAAAATTGACTTCCTTTAATTTTTATATACTATTATAGATGTATAGATAGGTACGTTGTACAGTACGCCCGGCAATTTGAGCGAGTTACCGTCGGGTCGCCTCGTGGAATTCTATTGAATCAAATAAATTGATAAAGGTACATTGAGAGTGCCCATAACATGGTTCAATGTTTTTTTTTCTTGTTCAAGTTGTCATACGTTTAAATAATATTTGCCTATTTATTTAATAGCCACTTTAATAGGCATTTTGCCGTATTCACACGTGAAAACAATGTAATTTCATGCCATGTATTTCTATTTGTGTACACTTTCACGAAACTAAAAAACATTTCGAATTTTATCAAAAGGAGTACAAAACCCATTATTTCCAGTTAAGAGACAATGCGTTCTTAACATTTATTTTAGTAAGGACAGCTCCATTTCTCCGCAACAAAACAATAATGACGCAAAAGAATTTTCATTTGAGTACGGCCCGGCTTGTCTCGGGGAAACTCATCGTTGCGACGGATCCTCCATCAAGACATTCCACAACTTTTCACAGACCTTCGACAAAAAGATGCTTCCTTTCTCTATACAATATAGGTATGGCTAGGGGTATGATCTTCGCGGTAAAATTCTATTTCCCTCGGCAAATTGACTGACCGAATTTAAAGAAGATTGGAATCAGCGAGTTCTTTGGATCACACAATTTATCGATATGGAAATCTTTAATAAGTTTAAAAACGTTTGAGTATCCGAAGTTAGATATTAAATTTTCGTCCGTGTGACAGTGGATTATATAATTATTAATTAGGTCTAACATTTTGTCGCTTGGATGGTACTTACCGTTGACTTTTATGAAGATGAGTTTGCTCAATCCGGCGCCTATGTCGTTTCTAGCTTCACAAAGATAATGTCCCTCGCTGTCTTTGGCGACTCGCTCGAACACGAGCGAGCCATTCTCCAGGACCCTTGAGCTCCCTTCAAACATGAAGTCTTTGTATTCGCCAGGAGTGTTACCTGTTTCAAATTTGACCCAGTTTTTATGTCTGCGTTGCTTACAGTAAAGATTGTTTAAGAAAACGTTTTGTAAAGGAAAATGGTCTTAAATATTTAGCTAGAATAGAATGTTTTTGTTTGTAACTCACCAACTGCTTTCTTCCACGTAATGGTCGGTTTCGGGTATCCATCAGCTTGGCATTGTAATGTCACGTCTTGACCGGCAGCTACTGCCACATCGTTAGGTTCCAACCGCCATCGAGGTGGTACTGTAGACACAAACGGTAATAACACACTGCGACCATATTTCTAAAGCAGTAGTACATAGTAAAAGAAAGTTTGATTACCATTGACTGTTAGCGGTATAGTGTACCGTTCTGACCCAGCAACATTAGACGCAATGCACGTGTAATTCCCGCTGTGTAGTGACGTCACCTGCTCTATAACTAATGACGCGCTGTATTCGTCCATTCTTCTTGTAATGATACCACTTGGTGCGTATGGTGATGACGTCACCGGTTGGCCATTTTTCTCCCATCGAAATGCTACTGGTAGGTCACCTTCCAAGATCTGGCAGGATATAGCCGCTCTCATGCCTTCGCGTAGTAAATTTGTTAACGCCGGTATGGGTAAGATTTTTGGCTGAACTGTAAATTGAAGATAAATTGGTTATAATTTTGGTAAATGTTTAAGTGAAAAATGTTTTGGTAAGTGTATATTAACTGATTTTAAAATGTGTTTCAATGTCAGCGACCTCCATAAATCTCAATACCACTCGGACATAAAACAAAATAATCAAAAAAGGTAAAAAGATGCCCATCGTCCCGTCATCACATGTAACAACGTAATGAATTAGACAAGAGCAGACTCCAGGACATAACTCACCAAAAGTTATTAGGGTTAAAATTTCAACGCGCAATTTGGCCACGTAGACACATTTAATTTCACCATTTACTTTTTACGTAGGTGCCTAACTGTTAATTAAAATAAAATCTTAAAGCCACGCTCACGGCTTGATTTCGTGGACCTCATTTCGGAGGGTTGAAGGTTCCATTCATTTTTTTAATATTTTTTATTTTATTGCCCTATTAACCAGTAAAGCTGGAAGTTTAACGCCCCGTGGATGCCGCGGTAATGGTAAACGTGCTAACTTTAATGAATTACGGATGAGTAACTCCACCCCTCTTGAATTCGTGATTTTATAGCGCATTAAATCTTAGTAAAGAAAATGAGAAAGTTTATGCTCTGATTTAGTAGTGATAAGGACTCGGATTTTTAGTTAGATAATGATGGTGTTCGAAAATGGCCCTAAACTGCACTGATTTTCACGATTTTGGTCATTTTTAGACATTGATGTTGTGAAAACCAATGAAAGAATCGATCGGAGAAGTGTGTCGTGGTCAATGGTGAGTACTTTAAAGGTGAACAAAATTTGGTGTTAAAATATTAAGAAATAAAAAAGTTCTGACGTAATTCCTGTTTCTTTTGGGTCCTCTCTCGTAGATACAATCATGTCCAAAGCACACATTCCAAAAGTAACCTACCCCCAACGCATTTCCATACATTATTACACACCACATAATACTGCTCTAGTCACTTAGCACGCCACTTCTCGGGTGACAGCTATTTGTATCGCCAAGTTGCCACTATCGACGGATCTCTAACTTAATATTTGCACATCGACGTCTCTTCGACAGTAATACGTGCCAACATGCAGCGTATCTGCATTTATATCAAGATCTGTGTGCCACTGGGATGAAACTTCTGCCATCTGTTCGCTAGTGTTGTGGTATGGTATGTATTTTGCTTTTATGTGCGCTGCTAATGCTAAGTGTGTGTAATGGATGAAATTATTTAGTAATGAGTTAGGGAAGTTTTGATTTAAGTGTCCTTGTCTCTGATTATTTTTAAACTTAACGATTTGTGTCTATAGATATTAATGATAATGTTGTTTGGATTTAAATTTGTGGTTAGAACTTTAAATTATAGTAGGTGTCTGTTATTAGGAACTCGAATTATTTGACTGCCCACACATTGTTTGTCTTATTATCACTCCAGTCTATTATAATAGGTTCTTATTTATAACCAAATGAAAGCCTAAAATTAAGTTATCTATGATATTTCTTTACAAATTTTACCATCATTACCACCTCATATATAGCCTTACCTAATATCTGTACTTCGACATCACGCCTGGCAGCGTGTCGTTGTCTATTAGCTGCCTGGCAGGTGTAGGTACCAGCATCTTCTCCTCTCTGTGTCTGCTCCACGATCAGCGTGCCATTCGGAAACACCTTCTGTCTTCTGTTCAAAGGCAGATTTTGGCCATCTGTTGTTGATAAATAGGGTCGTTAGACATAAATTGGAATTATGACCTAGAAATCTTCTAGAATACAGTTCTTGACAACTGTTAATATCATGTCATAGGTTATGTTTCGTAAAAAGGTATTTGCAAAGGTAAGTAAAACCAAGGAGTAATAATAATTACAATCCGTTACTTAAATAGGCTGTAGAAATTATAATCAGCTAATTTAAAACACTTAAAAACTCGCTGTTTTAGCTACTTTTCGCTCTGTTGTTCTGTTGCAATTCTGTTGCATAATTCTAAAATCGGAGCACGCAGAAATTTTCTAATTTAAAATGAGACGGGGAAACCACATCTGACTAAGCGAACTCCAAAACTCAGTGAAAAGTTTGCCGGCGACGGTACCAAATAAAATTTCAACAGTCGCCTAGTGTATGGAAGTTTGGTAAAATGTGCACTGCCTTCGGATATGTCTAATTTTAAATTTAAATATCGGAATGCTGAACTGGGTCAATGTTTAGTGGATGCACTTAAAATTTTTGTAAACGCTTTCGTATGTAGCCGTTTCGGAATCCAAATATTGCTCCCTTGGTGTTGTTTTACGAACGAATTTTGCCTGTCATAAAATAGGTTAGGTTTAAATGGCTACTATTACGCGCGACGACATGTTGATAATGTACCTAGCTAATGTACCTATCTAGATTTATATAAGCTAGTCTCACCGAACTTTCTTCTCATATATTCTATTCCAAGTCACTCAAACCTTTGAGCTTTTTAATTTGTAAAACTCTACTTTCTTATTGAAACAAAGCAAGAAGTTCAGTTACTGAATAGTTTCCTCCTAAATGCAAATGATTAGCTTCAAATTCCTAATCCTGTTTATTCATTCGATTCACGGAGCATATCCTATCGACGCAGGTATCAAAGATCATAGGTCAGCTTAATGAGAGTGCTTCTATGAAAAGATAAGGTTCACTGTTGACAAGGGTCCGAAAACGGGAAAATTACGAGGGAGTGACCCAGAGTCTTAATTTGATCTTCCGAAATAATAGGAGTACATAGAGGGTGCGTTTACGATGCTCACCAGTTTTATTTTAAGTAAAATTCATTGGATGCCTTTAAGACTTAGGTTCTTAAACAAATTGGGCTAGTGGCTAGACTAGCTATAATAATAGCTCTTTAAATTAGATGAACGAATGATATCACTGGAAAAGAACTTGGTGTGAAATCAAATTACTACGTTTCTGAGTTAGGTTAAGTAAATTTGAGATTTTTTTTTGTTTTCTTCACTAGTATTAGTTTGATTGTATCTAATAAGATCCCGTTACATTGCTACGAAGTCGATGGGGGTGTGAAACACTTCAGACTATTTCTTGGAGGAACAACAGGCATGAAGATGTAAAACTGGGACAGTCTAATGATACAACAAATATACAACCTCAAGTAAAATGAATAGAATATACAATTTCTTTACAAAGAAATCCTTCTATTAAGAGATTAAAATACGAGTTTATTTTTGTAATGACTCCTAATGTTTAGATTATTTTACTCTGGCGCTATAAGGAATAAAACGAATCTTTTAATAGCCAGGTTTGGAGGGGAAATTAAAGAAAAGAAACACAAATTAGCCAAAGGATGTTTTTGTTTTTAAACCTGTCTGATGAAGGAAATTACAATGGAGTATCTTTTTTTATTAATCTTATGTTTAACGAAAATACAGTAAATAAATAGGCCAGAAGAACACGAAAGGGCTATAACAGTGCAATCATTTTTGAGGATACAATAGATACTAAATACTTTTTGTTACGAGTAAAAGACGACATGTCAAATTAAGGGCTCGTACACAAAACTGCGATGCGACGTCGCATCGTAAAAATGTGTGAGCTTCATCTACGCATCGCAACAACTTGCGAATTGATTCGCAACGCGCATCAAAATCTTATCTTCCCAAAATCTTCTTTGTTTCTTTTTCCTGCACACTGTGCACACTTCTTTTTACGATCCATATCACGTCCTAGTTTTCAATTTAAAATACGTTTAGTACGGTTGACGGTCGTCTAAGGAATGGTCACCCTGAGAGACGCCTTGTCGCACAAAATCGCATCGCAGCAATTAGCATCGTAATTTTTTGCGTTGCGAATTCGCATCGCGTCGCTGTTTTGTGTACGAGCCCTAAAAGTGAATCGCTATTTCTATTTATACCAACCAAAATAGTTATCTTCTCAAGAAGCACTTTACCTAAAAACAATTGACTTATCCTTTCAAACAAATCGACGTACCTAATTGAAGGCAGTGTATCTGAGGAAAAAACAAGAGAAGAATAACTTAGATTTTGTCCTTAATTGGATGTTGCGAAGGTGTCTAGTCTATTAGATTGTGGGACGCAATTTTCTCCCCGACGGGCAAATTACCGAGGAAGACACAACGAACATATTTCCAAGCTGACGTTTTATACACTTTAGCAAATAAACAACAAAAATGTATTGGACAAGGCAATATTTTTACAATTTTATAACTAGATACCGGTTTATAACAAAAGAAAGAGATTTTTTGCGAGGAAATAATTTTAAGTGGCTTATTGATTTTTTTGTAGTTCCGTCTTCTCGGGGAAAATTCGATTTGAGATATTTGGTCTTCGATTTTTTTTTGTATACAATTTGATGAACTCGATTGTGTACCTACCTATTTATTGCTAAGATGGCTGTGAAGTATTTCATCAGAATCGACAAAATCTGAAAACATTTAACAACCAACTAATATGTATGTGCTAATATAGTGACGTAGTCTTGAAATCCAATTATTATATATTTTGATCGATCAACGGATGTGAACCCGAACTTTATACTCAGCAATAGTACATTACAATTACTAAAACGTGACTACATTTTAAGTTAATTTTAAGCAAGTCTTAGTCAATTTCAAATTAAAAATAAATCCGATCAGTTAAAACTCTAGTGGACCAACCAAAGTAATTGAAAATACCAGAAAAAAACAAACACGACACAATACGATCTCTTTTCATTCAAACTAAACAAAACCAAACTAATCTATTAGACACGGTTCGATTTGTTCCAAAATCAAACGTTCTATTAAAAACAAGGAACTATAGAATCTAGATACGGCACCTCCTCACGTAACAGTTCGCACTCACGAAGATAATCTAATCCTTATAGTTATTTCGTTTCACCTTCGTCCGGGTTTCTGTGGACCTGTTGCTAAAAGGCGTAGATACTCGTCTCCCAGGGGCTTTAATTCGATACTGTTTGACTAAAGTGTCGTTCGTTTCATCGTAAATGTTCTGTTTTATTTAGTAGCTGTTGAGAACCTAGTTTTGTTCAAACATCATGTAGATAAATTATAGTTGCTGCTTTGAGTGTCGTGTCCATTATTTGAAGCTGTTTACTTCTTGTTTCTTCTTTATTGCTTCACTGTTGACCTGATTAGTCGTTTCATATTCTATCCGAGCTCGGAAAAAACGGAATTAAACTCTATTATCATTTATAAAAGTCGTACTTACGAATGATGAACTAAAAGTTGATAGGTAAATCAAAATTTGAACATCGAACTATAATTGTCCGATTCAATATGAAATAATAGGCATCATTTAATAATACGTACATGATGTTTATCACTACCAAAACGAAGTTAACATCGTTCACAATCACAACATGTAATTATGTTAAACATTAGATAATTTGTTCTATCAAATGGAAAGTGTACAGATAATATTTGAAGCATAAACACCAGTGCACACGGGAGAGATGTTGACAATGATATATGGAGACTGGAATATGTGAACATGTTCGTTGCAAAATGAGACACATCCAGTACAAAATTACATCTGTAACAGTCGGTATACTGTTTAAAAGTTAGAAATGTGAATCTAAATTATCATTTTGTCATTTAGATGTGAAAATGACAAACTGTGACGTAACAAATTAGTAATAGTTTATAGCACATTTTGTTTATTATTTTTAGCCATGGTCGTCTCACTGCAGGGCAAAAGCCTGACTAAAATTATCGCAATTTTATCGCACAAAACTAACTAAAATACTATTAAATGTTCGTTTGCTTAATTGAGCTTTTCTTGTCAGACTAACATTATTGTGTTTGGGTAGTTTTATGTGGATTGATTTGGGAAAATAAAACCGTAAACTAGCATTATTAACGTTAAGTTTCATCTGTTAAGTGATGCTCATTACGATTTTTTTTAAACGTTGCCCCACAGGATATTTTGCTGTATTGTGGATGCGTTTACAAATATATAATTTCCGATTCGACCCGCGACGCGTTGCGCGGCAGCCGGTTGCCCAGTCACGGTCACGGTAGTCATTTGTATTAGAATTACAAATTCTATTAAACATGACTGTAATAAAGTATTTTTTGAGTAATTATTTACTTACAAAATAAGTTACGTACGTCATAACATTCTTCGCGATTATATTTTACGAAGTTTCAATTTAGGATCCGTAAACATTCTCCTTTTCCTTTAACCGTTATATATGTAAGAATAACATTTTAATGTAATAATATTTTTCAATAATATCTCATGAAGCCTATTATATCTTTTTGTAACAGAAAATTATTCTTTATCTTTGGAAAACATTTTTCGTTGAACGTTTTAATGAGAATAAAGAATAGGTACCAGAAACATTCAATTATGTTACGTTAATTTTTTTTTAAGTGTTTTGAATGTTAAATATGTATTTGGTACGGTGAGTTTATGACAAAGAGGAAAGAATATGACGTAGCCTTTATCAAAAGCATACGCAAAATTAAAGCGTTTTTTTTGGTTCAAACAATCAAACTATACGAAGGCCTTTTCAATGACAACAAAATTCTTAAACTTGTAATGGATGTGAAGGATTAGTAAAAAGTTTACCTTCACCCAATTTAAGTTGAGGATTTAAAACCAAGCCTAGTTGAGGAAGCCTAGAAAGATGTACGATTTTAATACAAAAATCTTTTTTTCATCCTGTCTTATCTAGATCGTAAATATGTGCCTATAAATAAAATAATAATCATACTTACAAATACAAATCAGTATAACTACAATAAATATATTTGACGTAGAAAAAAAATGTAAAAAGAAAATAAAATGATTTCCATAGAAGTCCCGGGGCGACAATTCAATTTCTGTACGTGAGGCACAAGCGAAAATTATGTCAATTTCGTATCATTAGCGCGACTAGGGTTGTCACCCTTTGTAGATCACATTATAGCCACGTGGAGACCCGGTAACAGTTAACAAAAAACCATATTTGAAATAGGTACGATGTCGCTTAAAATGGTAACTTTTATGAATGTTCTAGTATACTTTTGAGGAAAAGTGAAAAGTTGTTAGTTTCGAACCACGCCATGTTCAATTACATTTAATCTTAATACAAAATCCTATTAGATTACATACCTCTAGTTGATAGCCCTATTGAAAGAATCATTAAGACGTTGAATACACGTTTTTAATAATTATGTTTAATATGTTCTTTTTAGTACTTTTTTATTATCTATTGTTAGTACTCTCAGGAGAAAAATTAACTTTCTTTTCTGATACTTGTGTGTGTTTGTTTTTATATCAAAGGTAAGGATCTCCTTACGAAATATCAAAGAGGATTTTGTCAAAGACTTGTGAACATAGTTTATACAATAAGTATATTCAAAACAATATGTATGTATACATGTGTATCAGGTTTTAATTATATTTGTTTTCTATGTTAATAAATCGCAAACAAGTAGCTTCGAACCTTTTTACATTGTATTTCTTTTTTATGTGTTTGATAACGAACCCTTTATTGTTTTAATTTCCAAGAAGGTTTTATCGGTGAATTTCTAGCTAAAGTTAGACAAAAATTGAGGAGGTGACTATTACTATCATATCTACTGTTTGGTGTTAAATCTTTTGTATCATATTACATAGTGTTATGTATACTAAATGTGCGTACTGTAGAATCGCTGAAAGACTCAAATGGTTTCCGAGCAAAAATCTCGTTGCATAATAAACATAAACGATAGAAGCAAGAAAAGAGAAAGTTATGTTCGTGAAACGCATTTAGATAACCGTATCAAATAAGGAAATAGTAGCAGTATAGTAAATAAAGCGCTTGATCATCAAACTGCGGTGTCTTCGCAACGAGCCTGGGAGTGTTGCCAGCGTCGGTAAATCAGCGGCTTTTGGCAAAGAGTTCACGCAAAGCATGTTATACTCAGCATGAATAACCTTAAATGCTACTATCAATGTCTATTCGGTAAGATTTCCTGCGATATATTAGAAGTTATTGCCTAATTTGTTTTGTTACTGCTTACGAAACTGATTTATGTCGGGGAAATTGTCGCGAAAACATATTTATATAGCAGAAATACTGTTTAAGAAGTCGCTATACAGACACCACCTGTTCACACAATTAGCGAACAAAACTTAAAACCTTTTTACTAAAAAACTGAGCAAAGGTTTTCAAAGTTAAGCGGTGCACGTACAAACTTACACCGTGGACGAGGCCAAGTAAAAAAAAGTTGATAAACTTTCCGACTAAGTTAACAATCTTGCACTCGGGGCTCGAGGAAATCGTTTCATAACCCCGCCGTTGTTCGGTAAACGAGCAGTGAATAAGTTAGGGAGAGCTTACCTCTTTCCCACGTGATTGACTCGATCGGGTACCCGGCGACTGGGCACTTTATATTCAGATCGCTGCCCGCGACGGCTGTCACTTTAGGCATCTCTCGTATGTACGGAAGCCCGTACACGTTGACGCGGGCAGCGTGCAGCGCCTTCCCGGCACTGTTAGCTGCGACGCAAGCGTACTCGCCGCCATCTTGTTCTGTCACACGACTGATGTTCAAATGGCTGACCACGTCGTCCTGTAGTGTCACGTGCTGGCCCACTACGAATCTAGAAATAAAATTTTATTGTTGAATACTGGTGACCTTCTGCTGAACTTATTAAGTAATCTGTTTAGTAATGATATAATCTCTGAAAAATCATTTCTGTAGCCTTTTGAGAAACATATAATAAATATGTGAAATATAGGAAACGAAAGTAAAAAGCTATTAAAATGTATATGTTCCTCAAATGTCTAGAATCGTTCTCCTAGATGGCAGATATAAAAAGTTTTTGTTTTCGTAAACTGTGTCCCCTTCGTTTTATAGCGAACATTAAGCAGTTTGTTTTAGGGATAAACTCGTCCTATTTTAACTGAAAATCCAATCAAAGTACACAAAGCACCGCTAATTAGTTGCAGCGCTACACATCGACACAACTATCATTTACACAATATACATGTGTGGGTAATTTCATATCAATAGATATGTATAGAAACATTCGTCTATCACACACATCTTGGTATTTAAAAATCATTTTTGTGTCGGTATACGCAATAATTTAGTAAATAAGTTTAAATAAAAACGAGGGTAAAGATAAAATTACTCATAACAAACTTTGAATAAATCGAAATCAAAAATAATGAACGATCGAGCTATACAATACCCATATAAATATAGTGCTTTCTCATTGTAATTTTATGTTACTGAATGATATACAATATTTCGATGATCTCATCTACAGCGCGCTTGGCGCAATGGTTATCGCCTCCAATTGTCAAGTAAAGTGCCGCCGGATCGATTCCACATTCACATGTTGTTTAAGAATTAATTTATCAAATATTTGATTTGATTTGAAATTTGAATTGAAATTAGAAACAATTAAATCTTTTCTTTTTTTTCCTTTCCTATTGTTCTAAATCTTATGTTAATTTGAATAGTAAATACTTTAGATTTATTTATACATATAATTTTTTATTTATATTTTAGTTCTAGTTATTTATTTTTTAGAATAATCTCATTTGCTTCATGCATTTCAACCAACTTAAATAAGATAAAAACAGTAAAAAAGTAATTAACTGTGATTTCTTAATGGTTCGATACCTGAGTATAGAGGTATTTGCAATGTTTGTGGCGACCATAGAAATCTCGAGTCATTTTATTTTACCGCTTATGAAGTAACTACCGACTATTTAAAACATGTTTTTCAAATCACCCGAATTACAAAATAATTGCGTTCTTAGTTGTCAATTTATGAGGATTTCATAGTTTATTGCTACACTACTTATATTCGTGTGCAAAGTTATTTTTATTTTTACAAGATATCCAACACCTATCAACATTTAAAAAGGCTGAAATCATTGTTTTGCATGAGCAAAACATAACTAACAATAACTGAAATAGCAAGGCGTTTAATGATATCGGTGAGTAAATAAGATACTACGTTGTTATTCTAAATAATATTTATTTCATTTTGTAACTCGACACACCTATCAATTTTTGCACTAGAATAAAATAATTATTGCAACTTATTATGAAGTTCAATATTATAAAGATATATTAATAATTTATTATTAATTGTATTGTAACTTGACTTGTTTTTGTTAGGAGTGTTTCTTTAAAACATATCTGGTTAGGGATTTTTATTCCTTACGCCACTACTTGATTATAAATTATTATTGTAACATTGTGTTTACTTATATTTATTATTATTTTTAAGTAACTTTAATTCCTGTGAAGTATTTCCTGGTATTTTAAATACTTATTTGTTTGGTATCAACAGAGGAGGTCCATGCAGTTATGGGTGCACAGATATGCGAGACCGGTGACGTTGAACATCGTCGACGTGGGCCTAAACCAAAGGCAAATTCATCGGCTCGGCACTACGACATCGTAGCCAGGCACATGGCTGATCCGTTCCTGCCAACACGCACTACAGCACTGAATGTTTTAATACAAACTGTACGGAGACACCTGCATTCTGGTTTAAGGTGCAGGAAGCCAGAGAAGAAAATATTGTTATCTGTGGTTCACCAGCAAAAGCGCTAAGAATTTGCTTAGGACTTTATTAATTTTGATTGGGCGAACAGTGTAATCATATTGAGCGACGAAAAGACTTTCAAGTCGGATAAGGATGGGCGTAAAATATTGTGGAGAAAAGATGGAGAAAGGTATACGAATTGCAACCTTCTGCCTTGTAGGATCAGTGATTGTATTGATTTCGGAATCAATTATTGAGCCTGTCAAACTCTGCCTTTATTAAAATTAACATAAAATAATGTTTAATTTTTTTAAGAATATTAAAATGCTGTCTAGAACATACGGTGAAGTGATGTTATTGTTTTGTGGTTAGAAATTGTCATAATTTCTTTCTATTCAACATGTTTATTCACTTCACTTTAATTTTTCATAAAAAAATTTATTTAACTGCTTTCGAACTTGATTTATATTATATTTACGCCCATCTTTAATTAATTTAAAGTTTCCCTGATTCTAAAGGTCATGAAAGTTAAAAGCATAGCATTCGTCACATTTTTTTTACTATCATACAGCCCACTGAATATTGAACCTTATAACAACCGTCGTAAAATAGATAATTAATGGAAGTTCAAACGACAACAAGTCGCCCATTTCAAGAAATATTATGTTGACAGTGTAATTTTTTACATGTTTTACTTGTTTATTACTGTAAAACTGTAATTTATTAATACATTATATTATTAAATTACAAAACAAGAATGTTGTTATTACTTAATAAAAAATGTTGCTGCCATCGTATTACCGCTGTACCGCATGATATTTCCCGATTCGACTATGAATTCGGTTTATTGTCATATCTATTAATTATGATTTAAAGAACTTTAAACTTAACATGTGGTATATAATTAATTATTAGATATAAATATTGAATATAAAACAACATATTTGTATAATAAATAAATTAATTATAATAAAAAATAGTATTGTTTTATTTACCAACTCATTTGCTTCTTTTATAGCCTGATATTTATATTTTATGACAAAAAACAAAAAAAAAATAAGAAAAATAACAAGGTAAAACAAAATAAACTTTTAGCTGGAATAGAACCCACATCATTGATCCTTGAAAGACGATAAAAGCGTGCCCATTAACCAATCGACCACGAGCACTACGATAACTACAGTGAAAATGTCGGGTCATATCAATGATTGTAAATAGTTTTAACCTTACCTATGCATTAAATTATAAAAATACGTATACCGACACAAGAATGAAAATACCAATGTGAACGTGGTGGAGGAATATTTTTATACAGTTATATGAAATATACAGTTATATGAAATTACCCACACATGTACACTGTGTAAATGACAGTAGTGTCGATGTGTAGCGCTGCAACTAATTAGCGGTGCTTTGTGTACGTTAAAAACTTTTATGACAGCAGTGTAAACAGCACGTGTATACTGAAGTACTGAAACTTTGTCAGTTTCTAATACTTTTATGGAAACATAATATTTTAAATTACTCCTGATAAGTATCAAAACTTAGGTTGACAAAAGTTCTTAAAGACAAATTGAATTCGTCGCCTAGGTCGTATCTCGGATTATTTTAACTGGGTTAATTAATTTAGGTTTTATAGGCTTACCTCAATAACAATAACCTTGAATAGATTTATTTCACATAACTACAGAATCATTTCTGATCAAAGTATCTGGTCGATATTGAGTGGATTTTAAGATATCTTGATTTTTTTGCAGAACAATAACGTATGGGTTCAATAGACTAGACTGGACACTATTATAATTTATCTTAGTATAGTTTTGAACACTGCACTAACTTCAACTATCTCAGAACAATGATCTATAGTTAACAAATGCGGCGCCGGTGTGCGCTTTTCTTCATGCTACGGGCTACGAGCTACGGCGTAGCGCTACGAGGTACGACAGCGTGCTCTTCGGGAAACTTTTTGAGATTAACCCAAGCCCTTTCTAATTAATGAGCTTTAAGCTCCGCGTTAAAATGTTATTCAATTTAAAATGATTATTGTGTGCGGTCTTTGTCAGTTCTTTGTTAATTGTAGAGATATATAATAAATGGAATTAATTTTGACACTACACGGACCGAAAAGTATTAGAAAATTATTTTATTCGAGTATAGTCTTTCCAGTTGGAAGTATATATTTTGCTCGGTAGTGAAGAGTTTTTTGGCAAGCTCAGCTTATAGGCTTACCTCGACGAAAAGACGTGATCAACGTTTTATACCTAAAACCTGACTGTATCCACGTCCTCACCTAAATGTTTTGCTCCCAAAAGTATATGCTTACGTAGTGAACTCTCGCGCAGTAGGCTTTTATCTATTTTCTTATTTCGTACAAAAACACAATCTTACATACAGGCCAAGAATAATAATTTGTCGATCATATAGATATAAAAATTGATTCGTGCGTGAAATGGAACCCGTGTCACTTAGTGTGGCGGCTAGTTGTTCAACCGTGCATTCGAGTTTTTTTTTTAATGGAATAGGAGGCAAACGAGGAGGCGGATCACCTGATGGTAAGCGATCAGCGCCGCCCATGGACACCCGCAACACCAGAGGAGTCATAGGTGCGTTGCCGGCCTTTTAAAAAGGAATACGCTCTTTTCTTGAAGGTTTGAAGGTCGTATCGGTTCGGAAATACCGCCAACGACAGATCATTCCACAGTTTTGCTGTGCGAGGCAGAAAGCATCGTGAGAAGCGCACAGTTGTGGCCTGCCAACCATCTATATGGTGGGGATGTATATTCTGTCGTGAGGGTCGATGGCGATTGATAGTTTAGTCAGCACATCATCAAATCATAAGACCTAAAGTAATGTATCGTTTTATTTTATTAATAAAACAAAGTACGTAATCTTACCTAGAATTAGTTGGAATAGGGAATCCATCAAGTAGCCATGTGAACTGTGGTGGAGGATGACCCATCGCCACACATTTCAAGGACACACTCGGTCCTGGCTGCAGAGTTTGTTCCGAGAACCAATAGACGAGCTCCGGCTTCGATTCTGCAACAAATAAAATAAATAAATCTTCCAACTTCAAGGAATTGTTATAATCTATTGCCCCACAATAACGTGGAAACTATAGATCACGCTAACAGGGTTATTCTTTAAAAATTGTTTGAAAAGTTCGCATGGTTTGTTGTTAGACTGTGTTAGAATTGTGAGCAACTTGAAAGTGGTTATAGTTATTGCGGTTGGTAGAACGAGGTTACCAGCAAAACTGGTTTTGTTTTCGTAATTAATAAAGTAACACATATATAGGTGAATTTCTTTTCCTATAAAGAAATTGGAAATTTGATAGCATAAATTACAAACATGTCTGCTTGACTGCCTCTTTGGCCGGGTGGTCGCAAGTGAGACTGCCTGGCAAGGGGTCTTGGGTTCTATTCCCGGGTCGGGCAAAGCATTACTTGGTTTTGAAAAAAAAGGAAATTTCAGTAGTAACACGGAGTCTGGAATTGTTTCCGGTATATCGGTATATCCCGGCTCACTCCCTAATAAAATTACATGGGACTTATAACATAAATAGTAAAAAGTGGGTGTTACTCTGTATAGGTGGCATTAAGTGCCATAATATGCACCTCTCTTTACCCCTAGAGAGATAAAAGGTGTGATGTTATGTTATGTAATAACAAACATACGTTATCCATTCCGACTTTAAGTTCATTAATCATGAACTATTAGAAATACAAAATACCTTAGTATATATTTACATAATATACCTATTATAATAATTATCGCTATGCAGTTTAAATGTCTAAAACAACTTCGCGTATCGTATACAGACCGGCACCTCAGTCAAAGAGCACTTAATTTCGCTTTTAGCATTTGTTAGGGGTTTTTTCTCTCATACAAACAGCCCTATTAACTGGTGGGTATTAAAAACAAAGGCTAAGCTTATTATCTCGGGAGGAAGGGGAAAGAATAATAACCCCCTCGTCTGCGTCAGAATAAACTGTGCACTGCAGTAGGTGCACTGGGTTCCGTCTGATTAATATTCAGCTCTTTAGACGTCCAGGGAACTCTAGAGATTGCTGCTATCTAACGTTTGTATAGAAAACGTACTTGAATGGTTTTTTTGAAACCAATCTGTTTTACGGGCGCTTTGTTCATTCATTTTCCGTGATTGCTTTCTTCCTCGCGTATTTATGTGGAATACTAATTAATGTGCACATTCCTTATGTAGTTCTTTGTGTTTTGTATATAAGAATTGAGCAGTACATAAAGTATAAACCTGGTAGTTTCCATATCAAATAAGCTGTATAAGTAGTTAAGGTCGGTATTACGGAGACAGACAGACGGGCGGACGGGCAAATCCGTCCGGCCGACTGTACGGCACGCTTCGCTCCAGTATAATTTTTCCACCTCGAATGATAAAGCAGGCCCAGGCTCAGTTGCTCTGTATAAAACTTTTGAGATTGGATTAGATTATAGATGCTCAAATCCGTTTTTGTTAGGCTTATAACTTTGTTTTGGGGATGGTTTGTTGAACAATATCGGATCATTGTGAACTGTTTGTATTCTATTACCACAATTTGAAACATTACAAAGTTCTGTTATTACACTTTACGTGTAACCTAAATATTACGTTTCTCCGCAACATTTTTAACATTAGAACGCATGTGAAAGTTACTTTTGAGTCTATAGAAAAAGATTTCTAAATATGTACAATTCTTTAAAAGGATACATGACAATATTCGTAAAGTTGACGTATTATAAAAAGGAGAGAATAACCCAAATGATTTGGGTGTTTCGTGAGGCGTGCCCGGATTACTTTTTGACCTTTATTTTCAAAATTCACGCTCGCGAACTCATGTCTGTCGTTAATTCTTTTGATTATATTTCATAATTAAAGGGAAATGAGGAATTCTTTAATCCTTTTTTAAAGAGAAAATGGTGGCCTTTCTACAACGGCAGTTGACACGTAGTCAAAGTCAAATATAATATTTTTATGGTATTAAAAACCAATATTTTCTGTGAATTTTGAACGTAATTTATGAATTAATCTTATAGTGTGATATTGTAGCTGTACATAGATATATCTTTATGCACGTACATATTAATTTTGACTGCACGGTTGGTGCGGTGGCTGGGCAACCGGCAGCCGTGCAACGTGTCGCGGGTTCGATTCCCACACAGAACAACACTTTGTGTGATCCACAAATTGTTGTTTCGGGTCTGGGTGTCATTGTGTATGTGAACTTGTATGTTTGTAAACGCACCCACGACACAGGAGAAAATCCTAATGTGGGGCAACGTTTAAAAAAAAATTACTACGCAGTTTTGTTCTTCTAAGAGGTAGGTAGTGAGGCACAAATAGTTACATATTAAACGTAGAACTCATTTGTAAACTAACATAATTTATACGCACAGCACTTCTTTGCATAACTTTACAACTGTGGGAAGGAAAGCGGAGTCCATTACTATTCTAATATAGTGTTATACTCAAGTAAGTACACGGAAAGAGAATTAATACTACTACATAGTACTTCCAGGACGCAGTGGCCGTGCTTGCGAGTACTAAATATGGAGGATCGCGCCCATTTTTAAAATTTGAGTTACGGATTGTTAGTTGATTTATACATAACATACTATAAAATAACTTCACGCCTTTCATCAGGCAGAGCATGCCTTTCCACTATTTATGTTATGAGTCCCATGTAATAGGGGGTGATCCTATTGCCATATACCGGTCACAAATCCAGACTCTGTGCTACTACTGAGATTTTTTGAAAAAGCCCAGTAATACTTTGCCCGACCCGGGAATCGAACCCGAGACCCCTTACCGGGCAGTCGCACTTGCGACCACTCGGTCAACGAGGCAGTTGATTTTTATTCTCTGTAATTTATTTGGTGCGAAGTCCGGTCTACTGATTAAATAAATATTGGATAAAAAAATAATCTACTAATAAGGCACCGAGCGCACTATAATACTACAAGTTTATGATACATTGCGTAATGTTTTGAACAGTTTTATGTACATACATAACTAACTTAATATAACATATCAATCACCAAAAATAATCACCACCTACACCATTCAAAATGCCGCTTTCTTACAACAACAATAAAGTGTAAATTCAAATGATTTCGGAATAGCTTTTTGGGGTCTAAAATGTAATAATGTGGAAGGGTTTAGTCCCTTCATTAGTGACCACATTAAATTGGGACATTTATTTAGACAGAGCGGGATACTTAATGGGTAGTTTAGTTTCAAACGCAGGTACAGTCAACTGGGTTTCAATGGGAATATTTTACTCTAGTGGTCTAATTATCACAGCTTATTAAATAGGTATTTTGTTCGTTGCCTCGTTGGCCGAGTGGTAACAAGTGCGACTGCCGGGCAAAGTACTACAGGGTTTTTAAAAAAATCTCAGTGGTAGCACGGTGTCTGGAATTGTGCGCGGTATATGGCAATAGGTTCACCCCCTATTACATGGGACTCATAACATAAATAGTGAAAAGTGGGTGTTACATTGTACAGTGACATTAAGTGCCGTAATGTGCACCTTTGCCTACCCCTTCAGGGATAAAATTCGTGATGTTATGTTATGTATTTTGTTCGTGGTTTTTCTCGCGTTAGTTCTTTTGCTTGTTTAGTTTTGGAAGATATTCTCTGTGATTGAAATTTTTGTTTTAGTAATTGTATTTTTACATTATAAAATATCTTGTGTCGTTTTTAAAATTGGACAATAAGGAGTTGTGTTCCCGTTGTTTATTTACTAACACATGTCAATTTCGTAAATATGCGAAAATATTGTTTAACCTGGGATCGAACTTTAAACTATATACCTAGCAAGTTTCGGGTGTCCATGGGCAGCGGTGATTGCTTATCATCAGGTGATCTGTCTGCTGGTTTACCGGCTTATCCCGTACAGATCCTTTCACGATTAGGTTACCTTTATGTGATGCCCTCTATTATGTACTTCTTCCAGAATAAATACTCTTTCCAATTGATATACATGCTGTTTTCAAAATATACGTAAGCTATATTCACTATATTGTACATATTACGAAGCAAACAAAGCAATTATAGAGAAGTTTAAACAATTCGCATAAATTCTATTAGTCTGTGATGCACAAAGCGGCAGACGCGACACGTCCTCACGATTGTTGGCGCACAATAGTTTACCTGCCGTTAGATGTCTCTGAACTTGCTGATGCTATCAATAGCTTGATATAACGCTCAGAATATCCTACTACGAGCTAATGTTGGGGATCGATCGAGTTAGAAGACGATGTGCTAAATGTTAGCTATGTTTCTGTGGAGGAAGTTTAGTTTTACTCATAACGTAAATGATGAAAAGTGTGTGTTACATTGTACATGGCATTAAGTGTACCTCTGCCTAACCCTTCGGGGATAAAAAGGCGTGATGTTATGTTATGAGTTTAGTTATTTAATAAAATATGTAGGTATCTGGTATGTGTTTATTTTATAATAGTCAAAGGGCATCAGTCAAGGTAGGACGAAAGACAACTTTCAGACACTTACGATCTAATATTTTTAGATATTGGAAATCTGGTAACTAAAAATTATTTTACCACGAGTCAACAGCAAAACCGTAGGGACAGGTAACTATAGAAATCAGTATATGATCCATGGTTCATTGTCCAGTATAAAAGATTTCTATAGCAACCAGACAAGGTTTAAATCACAAGAAAGCCAATACAATCTGGCGTTGCGACTTCTAGTTTAAAACGCAGTTGCAGTTTATCAATGGTAGTGGTTCGGAGTCATTCCTCCCTGTCTGCTCGGGTTTACTTCGAGTCCGTAACAAATGAGGCTTGTTAACAGAAGGTCAGCTACTTTGATCATTTATCGAAACCCAGCACCACATATTGGACTTAAAATCTACTAGTTTTCACTCCACATTTTTCCCTCAATAACTTTAACTCACTCTCAAATTGTAACCAATAATATTATTGAAGTAAAAGGCCTTTATCCACATTCTTAAGGGTATTTCGTAAGGAATTTATTTGTTTCTAAGTTTGTTAAATGGGAT